AGGCAAATTGGGGAAAATATTTTTAACATTAAGATATATTATAAGATAAATGCATATTTTTTACAAAAGAAGATCCAACAGAAAAGGAGCAGAGGACATAAACACTTTCCACGAGGGAAATGAATAATGGCGTAGGCTTCTTCATTAGAAATGTGCCACGAAGACCCCCCCCCCCCCTACCTCTCACATCCCACTCTCTACCTTCAGGCTGCTAGGCTCCAAATTAAACAGTTTATTGATCCACAGAGGGATAGCAGAGGCAAATACCTGCGCCGATGTCTGGGCATGAAATCAGCCTTTCAGAGGCCCCACATGTGGCAGCATCTTTCTCGAAAGCACATGTCTTTTGCAGACTCAATAGCAGCTCTGGTAGGACCGAGTGAGAGGGGCCTCTGCTCAGGTGCACCCCAGCCTAAGCAGCCCCTCAGTGGCCCCAGGGGTCCGTAAGGGGCAGAAGTAGCCTCCTGGGCCAGATGTTGTTCTCCCTCCTCCCACACCCAGGTGCCGCCTCCCCGGAGCCCCGAGGGTCCAGTGTGTCCACGGGCCAGATATGGACACAGAAGTTCACAGATATGGACACATGGAAACATGACGCAGCTATCGTGAACTGAGGGGCCAGTCAGTAGTCAGGCTGGCAACCTTGGATCCACGGGGATCTGTCACAGACGATGTAACTGTCCTTCCTGAGGGGTGCTTAGAGGTGGCCGGCAGTGTTGTACTTATACAGGGGGCCTGGAATTCTGGCTCTGAGATTCTCTGGCCTGAGCCTCACCTCTCAACCCCTTGGTTTCCTCATCTGTACGACGGAGAATAAGGCCTTCCTTGAAGAGCTGGTGCTCCGCCCAAATAAGGTAAGGACCCAAGTCAGTGTCCAGCAGCCAGGAGGAGGCCCCCACCACACACTAGGTCATATTAATCATCATGAAGTCCACAGGAAAGCTGTGGTGGGAGTGAGTGCAGGAGTGATTCCTGAGCAGGACAAATTAGTACCAACAGCGGCTGCACAGCGGCCCCCCCCCCCCCGGCTCTCTGTTAGCCGCAAGAGCACCCTAACAGCAAGCAGACCCTCACTGCTCACCGGCAGCAAGAACATCCAATGGGCGGGGGGGACACGGAGCCACAGCCTATCATGCCCCCTGATTTACTGCTTCTCAAAAGAGCCATCTTCAGTCCCCTTCCTCTACCCCGTGGCCCAGAATTCCTGTGGCAGCTTCCCCCCTCCCCCATCCTTCCTCATGCCCCACCGGCCCAGATGTACCAGACATATGGGAACAGGAAGGGCTGACAGATCCCTAATGGGACAGGAGAGAGGGCACTTGTGTGGGGACGGGCATGCCCCCCCCCCCCCCGAGTTAGTATTGTGCCTACATTCTGAGACTTCAGAGCAGGGAGGGCTTATCAGGCTAGAAGAGCCCTCAAAAGGCCTCCAGTGCATCCTTCATCTGAGGCAGGAATGCAGTCCAATATGCACACCTGAGAGCAATCTGGCCCGAGTCAGTGCCCTCTGTCACCTGGGTTACCCTTCTAGCCTCCTAACCGGAGTCCCCGCTCCCACCCTTCCCCCTCTGCAGTCTGCTGCCAACGTAGCAGCTTGTGATCCTGTTAAAAACAAAAGTCAGACCATGTCACTCTTCTGCTAAAAATCCTCTAATGGGTCCCCATTTCACTGAGTGAAATGCAGCGTTTTTCAACAGCCTGTAAGCCCTGGACAATTTGATCCCTCGTGGCTGCCCAGAGTCCCCTCTGACTATTCCCTGTGCTCTCACCCATGCTGACCCGCGGTGTTCCTGTAATGTACCAGGCATGCTCCTGCCCCAGGGCCTTTGCATTCCTTGTTCATTCTGCATTTAACACTCTTCCCACAGATGCCCACATGGCTCCTTGCTCACCTTCAAACCTGTGCTCAAATGTCACCCCATTTAAATCGCGACATCTCCTCTAACCCTCCCAGAACTCTCAATGTCCCTTATCCTGCTCTAGTTTTTTCCAGAGCATTTCTTACAACTAACAACCTCTGTAACCTACTTCTTATGCCTGTCGTCTGCCCCTCCCCTCCAAATGAGTGTAAGCTCACCGGGCAGGCACTCGGAAAGTACTGTTCAGATGAAGAAGGAACAGAGCCCACGCCGCCTCCCTGTAACTTTTCCCCTGGGTCCCAGCTCTGCATTCTGAAGGGCGCAGAGACCTCCTCCATCAAGACAGCTCCCCCAGCCCCTCTGCTCTTGGGTGAGGCCCCACGTTTTTCTCCAACTGCTTCTCATGTGAGAGCTCCCTCTCCCCAAAATGTAACCCATCTGTCAGCATCCCTTTAGAAGTGTAGAGTCTAGACCTGAGCCAGGTAAAAATGTCTGGAGGTAACACAGGAAAAATGGAGAAATTGGGGGAGGGGAGAAGAGAGACAAAGAACCAAGGAGGAAAGACCTGTGGAGTTTCTTTCACATAGGCCATCTGACATTGGACTGAGAAGCCCCCTACTCCTCCTACCTTCCTCCCACCAAGCATTTTAACCGACAACCCCCAAGATCCCTGTTCTCCAGAGAAACCTAGTGAGTTTATCCCAGTGAGCACCAGATTGAGGACGCAGGACAGAAGGCCAGGCAGGTTGGGGACACACCCCTCCCCCCAGCAGGGAACAGCTGACACTATTTCTGGCTCTCATCAACCACCTCCCCCCCTCCATCTCAGCAGGGAGGCCAGTCCAGGGCAGGAGCCCAGGGTTGGGGGAGAATGAGCGAGCATGGAGACCTTGGATACTCCAGAGGTAGAATGTTCTAGCGAAAACAAAGCCTGCCTGGGCCGGATGTATGGAACTCTGAGGTGAAGAGATGCCCTGGTCCGTGGGGGACCAAAGAGAAGAGCGGACGTGCGGAACCACAGGACCACATGGCCCCCAGTATCAGCAGGTAGCTCAGGTGAGTGTCCCACTCCGTTCTGCTTTGGATCTGGCGGATGTGATGGGGATGTGACTCAGTGACAGCTTTGCCCAGGCATTCACCCTGCATTTCCAGCCTCTGTTTCAGCAAGGGACGGCATTTTGGCCAAGCTAGAGTCGGATTAGTTGGAGAAACTGACATGTCACGGTGCCCTGGGAATATTAAATAATATTTACAAGGGGATGACGTTGGGAAAGTAATTATCGATGGTGAGAGGCAGTCGGCAGTGGGGAACCCTTCCACCGCTCAAGCAGTGACAAATTAGACGGATGGGCTCAGATCAGTGAGGGTTGTCGTGGGGACAGCAGGAGTGGCTGGAGACTTGCTACCTCTGCTGATTCTGTTAATAGGATAAAGCAGCCTTGCAAATAAGAGCCAGGCCTCAGGAGGCCTGCATTTGAGGGGATTTGGAAACCAGGCCAGGTCCTGCCAATAGCTTTACTTTTAGATGTGTTAGAAGTGGAAGGAGCTTACAGATCGGTAAGGCCACTGGCTCTCTGTTTGCAAGGCTTCTGCCTTCCAGAAATACTGCAAGTATTAAGTAATAATTAATTTGTTTTCATATTTTTAATTCATCAAAGACACATAGAGGGGTGTCAGCTGGGACAAGCAGAAGACAAAGTCGATGTCACTCCAGCCCCAAATGAGAGGCCTGTTGGGTTTTCTGTCAGTCCAGACACGTTATCCTGTGCAAATGTAGTTTCCCTTTTGAAAACACTTAACATACACAACAGTCCAGTTTTAAATTCCTGAGGGAGCCTAGAGAATCTACATCAGAAACCCCAAATCGTCTCTTATTTTATATGTAAGTAGACCAAGGCCCAAAGAATGGAAGTGGCTTGTCTGAGGCCAGGCCTAGATCTGGGGAGCAGGGAGGAGGGAAGGCTGTCCTGGACATGCAAGGACAGGGAGAGAGTACATCACAGCAGTGAACACAGCGGCTGAGCATGGGCTCTGGCCACCAAGGGGCTCGGGCTTGACTCTCGTCCTCTATCCTTACCAGCTGTGGGACGCCGACAGAATGACTGAAGCTCTGAGCCCATTTTCTTATCAGTAAAATAGGGATAATAGTAGCACTTACCCCTATTTTTGTGAGGATTAAGTGAACTCACAGGACAGAGCACTTAGTAAATAGTTGTTACTTTTTCTTAACTCTAACTTGTATGGGTTGTGGGCAGTAGTGGGTCTGTGTATAGAAGACCAACAGCTTGAAGAACATAGTCACATGACCCAACTTCCAGGTGCTGCTCTGACAATGCCAGAGAGACACAAATTCTGTTGCAGTGGAACTCTAAGCACTAAATTGCAATGCTGTTACTTCTGGGTAGCTCCTCAAAACCGAGTGTGCCGCAGGACCAAGGCCATATTCAGATTCACAACCTCTGAATCCCTGTGGGGTGAACTTGGAAATATGCACTTTAGAAAATTATTAATTGAGATATGATCTACATGGCATAAAATTCACCATTTTTAGATGTACACTTACAGTGTTTTTTCTGGTATATTCCTAAGGTGGTACAACCATCACCGCTCTCTAATTCCAGAACCTTTCCATTACCTAAGACGTCCCAGAGCAGTCAACCCCCTTCCCCACTCTCCCAGTCCCTGGCAGCCACTAACTTCTCTCTGTGGATCTATCCTGGACGATTCACATGAATGCAATCACATAACATGTAGCCTTTGTCTGGCTCCATTCACTAAGCACAATGTTTTCAAGGTTCGTCCATGTTGTAGCATGGACTAGTAATTCATTCCTTTGGAATGTGTACTTTTAACAAGCTCCCCAGGTAGCCCTGATGAGTGGGCTTTGGGTAGAAGAGAATAGCAAATTCACACAAGGCGGAACTTCTGGTTATTATAAAGCTACAGGCCCTCGATCCTTTCAGGTATGCCTATCTCGGAAGCCCCATCGCTACCAGCAGGCAACGCTGGCAGCTTGCCTCCTCCAGAGACTGAAGATGTCAGGCAGAGTCTCCTGGTGCTCAGTAGGGAGATGTGTGTCTATGGACAGTGGCCTGGCAGCTGAGAGCTGGGCAAATTAACTGCAAGAGAGACTCACGCAAGGGATTTAGTCTCAACCCAAAGACTTTAATGTATGTTATGCTCTTGGAAAAACATCTCCAAGGAAACGAGTGGAACCAGAAGTCTTAACCAGCATGGATTCTCATTCAGAAACCTGGTGTGAGCCGCAGCCTTGGAAAAGAATGGCGCAGGGATTCTGATCATAGTACAACAGTTTGAGGTCAGGGTGGCAGGACCCGTGTATGGCGGGTACGCCCCTCAGGACTCCAAGGGAGTGGGAGCATCATTACTCCTGTGGCTGACAGCTCCACAGCAGGACTGGGAAGATCTAGGTGGGTCAGATCATCTCCAGAGCTCTGAATACAGACACAGAACTTCAACAGGGCCAAAGAAGCCCATCCGGAGCAAGAGCCTTCCTCTTTGTTGTTGAATCTCCAGGTCATCAGAAATAGTTATAGTGGCTGTGCTGAGGAAGGGGGCTGTACGGAAGGGTTGCCAAGTCCCACTTCTGGGACTGAAGCCTCAGAATGGAACAGATGAGAGGGACGTGGCATCAGCAAGGCCCCTGAGGTCAGGGACTTTGATGGAGAAAGTAAGAGTTGACCACTCGTCAGACTCAACCCAACTGTCTTCTGGGTCTCCCCTCCCCAATCGGGAGCTCCTGAGTGGTCACAGGCCTGTGTGTTCTGTGATGTGTTCCCATTCAACAAGGGATACGCAGAAATTCTAGCCCATTTCCCTAGGACCTTCTAGTTAACTTTTAAAGTCACTAACGGACAGCTCAGAACCCGTGCAGTCCAGGGTGTCTTGTTTTCGAACCATTCTACGAAATGAGTAATCAGTTTCTTGGGTTTTTGGCTCACCTTCTTATTCAGAAGGAAGTAGGGTGCCACTGAGGCAGGTCTCTCCCGAGAGCTTCTGTAAGAGTCCATTTGGAATTAAGTCAGGTTGGTCCCATGGCCAGGCTGAAGGGAACCCATGGATGTGCCCTCAGGATGCACATAGCCTCTTTGGCATTGAAGAAACTTATTTCCTGATGAAAGAGGGAATTCTGGCTCTAACTCTGCAGAACCTGGTGCAGCAACTAGCCCCACAGGTCCCAGTAGGAAGGGGTGAATGGAGAGGCCAGGACTGCAGCTGTGTGGGAAGGGGCCCCCCCTGGCTGACAGCATTCCCAGTTAGCCAGTCTCCACACCCTCAGGGAGCTCCACCACCACTGGGGCGCAGTCCTCTGGCTCTGCCTCAAAGTCCCACCGAAACTTCTTGGTCAGGTGAGCTTGGAACTTTGCAGCTTTCTGCCTCAGAGTGGCATCCACGGCAACGCTGCGGGCGGAGGAAAAGAAAACCTACAGAAAACAGAGAATAAGTCACTCCTGAGAACACAGTGGGGGCCGAGAAAGCTATGGAAATTTCCTCATGGTGTTCAGCTCTCTGGGGCGGGTGGATCAGCTGCTGCTGGCACAGGCCCAGGACACCTGCTGTGCTCCCCCCAAACCAAGAAAGAAGGTCCAAACCCAGCTGAGAAGCTGGGGCAGGACTAGAATGGAAAATTACTATCTTGGGCAGAGATGCCCCATTGAGAGTGAGGCCAGTGGGGCCATCACTGGGTCCCAGTACCCTGGGATGCTCTCCTGGGCACCTGGGCAATAACTACACCAGCTGGTACCAAGAAAGGCTTGGAGGGCTTATACTGCATCCCATAAAGTCACAAGCCCTAAGCCAACGAGGCTGAACTGCTGCTCTAATCTACATGGGTTACAGGCTGCCAGATTAAAGTTTCTGTTCCCCTTGAAAGTTGTCATTGAGGTTCTTCTTTTAAAACTGTTTGGGGCACCTGGGTGGCTCAGTTGGTTAAGCGTCTGACTTCGGCTCAGGTCATGATCTCACGGTTTGTGGGTTCGAGCCCCATGTCAGGCTCTGTGCTGACAGCCAGCTCAGAGCCTGGAGCCTGTTTTGGAGTCTGTGTTTCCCTCTCTCTCTCTGACCCTCCCCTGCTCACGCTGTCTCTCTCTCTCTCTCCTAGAAATAGATAAAACAGTAAAAAATTAAAAAAAAAAAAGTTGTAACATGCACATATCACAAAACCTACCATTTTAACCATTTTTTACATTATCATTTTAAAAACTGTGTTAAATACACATAATATTTATCATTTTGACCATTTTTAAGTGTACAATTCAGTGGCATTAGGTACATTCACACTGCAATGTAACCATCACCACCATCCATCTTCAGAATTTGTTCATCTCCTTTCAACTGATACTCTGTACCCATTAAACGTTAACTCCCCATTGCCCCTCGCCCCAGCCCCTGGAAGCCACCCTTTGGCTTCTGTCTCTATGAACTTATCTGCTCTAGGTACCTTGTACAAGTGGAATCATACAGTACTTGTCCCTGTGTGCCTGGTTTGTTTTTTTTTCCTTCACTTAGAATGAAATGTCTTCAAAGTTCATTCATGCTGTAGCACACATCCGAATTTTCTCCCTTTATAAGGCTGACTGATATTCTATTGTATGCATATACATTTTGTTTTCCATTCACTTGTCAATGACCATCTGGGTTGTTTCCACTTTTTGGCTATTATAAATAATGCTGCTGTGACATGACTGGAGTCCCTGAGTTTAATTTTTGGGGGTATAAACCTAGCAATGGAATTTCTGGATCTTAAGGTAATTCTAGTAATGTTTTAAGAACCAACAGGGGCGCCTGGGTGGCTTAGTCGGTTAAGCGTCCGACTTTCGCTCAGGTCATGATCTCACGGTTCGTGGGTTCAAGCCCCGCGTCAGGCTCTGTGCTGACTGCCAGCTCGGAGCCTGGAGCCTGTTTCAGTTTGTGACTCTCTCTCTCTCTGACCCTCCCCTGCTCACGCTGTCTCTCTCTCTCTCTCTCTCTCTCCTAGAAATAAATAAAAATGTTTAAAAAAAAAAAAAAGAACCAACATATGTTTTCTACAGGGGCTGCACCGGTTCACATTCCCAGTAGCAATGAACAAGCGTTCTAATTTCTTCACATCATTGCCAAGATCTGTTATTTTTTTGTTATTTAATATTTAAAAATTTTTTTAATGTTTTTATTTATTTTAGAAAGAAAGCGAGTGGGACTGGGGCAGAGACAGAGAGGGAGACACAGAATCTGAAGCAGGCTCCAGGGCACAGAGCCCAACGCAGGGCTCGAATTCACAAGCCTTGAGGTCATGACCTGAGCCGAAGTCAGACGCTCAACCCACTGAGCCACCCAGGTGCCCCTAATATTTTTATAATAATAGCCACCATAATGGGTGGTGTCACATAAGTGGTATCTCACTGTGGTTTTGATCTGTATTTCCCTAATAAGTAGTGATGTTGACCACCTTTTCATGTAGATGTACTGGCCATTTGTATGTCTTCTCTGGAGAAACATCTACTTAAGTCCTTTGTCCAGTTTTAGTCTGTTTTTTTGTTGTTGCTGAGTTACTGTAGCTCTTTATATATCCTGGATATTAATCCCTTATTTTGATGTTCTTTTTAATTCAGTTTCATCTGATATAGTCATGGGGGCAGAACAGTAATTTTCTCTACATCTGACTCTCCATTCCAGATTTTCCTGGATCTCAATTACGTCTAAGAGTAACAGCAAACTCATTACCCTTTCTCACATTATTTTACTATTTTCAAAGAAGTTTCAAAGTATCCCAACAGATCCTCACAATGCCCTGGAAAGACACACCAGGATGCCTTATTTTATGGAAATGGAGGCAAAGAGGAGTTAAATGACTGGATAAAAACTATCCAGAAGGGGAAGGGTAGTTTTTCCCAGTCTACCCTACAGACACAGGAGCATGAAGGGGGGAGAAGCTCTTTGTTCTATGTTAGTCTAGCGCCGTGGGCAGCCCAAAGACCACCATGGAAGGAATCTGGACTTCAGGGGCCTTGACCTGATAAAATTAACAGGTGTACTCTACAGCTGATTCCAGGGACACCTGCTTCTCTACTGTCTATTAGCAGGAGTGAAGCTCATTTTAGCGGTCTTTGTTTGGATCCATCTTGTTGGACTGGTAGCAAGGCCCGAAGTGATTGAGGCAGGGGGAGTGTGTGCAGAAGCATGCATGGGGGTTACAGAATTTGGTTTCATTAACTTGGGAATCGACTAAATACAGGAGCGGGGAGCATAGCCACAACAAAACAGCAGATCAATAACTAATTAGAGGGGATGTGTGAGCTTGGTGGTGGCAGGGCAGCAGGGAAACCGGCCGTCTGTCTATAGGCAGCTGATGGAGCTTGCCCTGGAGTGCTGAATGTGCAGCCTGGCTGAACTCTGGGGAGGGGCCCTGGGAAGGGAAGCAGAGAAGCCTCATTTCAAACAGTTTAGCTCTGGAGGCCGTCCATAGCCTTGGGTCTGCCCCAAAGTCCTGGGGAGGCTGCTGGCTGAATTTGCTAAAGCCTCTTCCTGTTCCCCTTCTTACACAGTATACAGTACCCCTCTCTATACAGCTCTGCCTCTCCAGACACACTGAGCAGCTGCCAAACATGCTCTCTGGCCTCTTCTGTGCCTCTACACACACATGCTTTTTCCTCTGTTTAGAACACCTTACCACCCCCACATTCACCTTCTTCACCTACTAATTCCTACTAGTGACTCAGGTTCAGCTCAGACATTACCTCCTTTAGGATGTCTTCCCAGACCAGGGATGGAACAAGTGCTCCTTTATGCTCCTCCAGGGCCCAGGGTTACCACGAACATAGCCTCAATTTCAGTTAGGTAACAGTCCATTTGCTGCTGACTTCTCCTAAGAGACAAGGAGCCACTCCAAAGCAGTGGCTCTCTGCTACTGCATACCACACTCCTGGCAGAGTCTGACATAAAGGTGTTTAATGAGCAAAAAAATGAAGACCACAGATTCTATCAAAGTTCAGTTTTCGTTCACTTTTGCACAGTCCTTGGCACCAACTAATTGCTCAATAATTATGTGATGGTGCTGAACAAAATAAAGGACTCATCCTGGGGAGGAGGTGGCTCCTGAATGCTACTAGCTCACAAGCCACCTCCTTGTGATATGCCTCTTATAAAAGCCCAAGCTGAAATGAACTGCTCCGTGCTCTGTTCCCTTCACACTGGGCCTGAGCCTCCCTTATGGCATTTCTCACACTGTGCTTGTATCACAGTGATCTGCGCTCCTTGCAGGTAGAGAGGAAGTCCTTATTCTCAATGTGTTCCACATAGCTTATCGCCCAGGGCCTGGCACAGAGTGAGGGCCCAGAGGATGTTCACTGAGCAGGTATGAATGAGATGTAGGATTGGCAATGGCCAAGAGGGACAGCTCTGAACAGGCTGGCCTCGTATTCATCACTCATCCTTCCAACCATCTCTCAAACGATGCCTGGGAGTAAAATCAACCAGAGGCAGGTATAACAGAGGCCTTCTGTCTGAAAAATAAGGCTTCTAATTTAAAAAGTGCTTTGTCCTTTTTAAAGAACTTATCAATTTAATCTTTACTACAAGCCTGGGCACTACAAACCTGGGAGGTAGGAGGCCAGGAAATTATTATTCCCACTGTACAGATGAGAATGGTGATAAACACTGAGCAAGTTAATAAATGTTGAACAAAATCCAGTCCAAGTGAGGAAACCTCAATCCTTTTTCCCTACCGAGACCTTCTTTTTGTCTCGACACAGACCTAATATATTAATTGCATTTTCAGCACTGCCTTGTGGAGAGCCAGGGGGCTTGGAGACCAGGTGCTTCTGGAACTGTCCCCCTACAGGCTCCCAGGACCCAGGGCATAGCCCAGGTTGAATTTTTTTAAAAGGCAACGTTACTGAGGTATAATTTACATACAACGAAATTCACCCATTTTAAGTGTCCAATTCATTTTGACAAATGTGTACACCCATGCAACCACCATGTGATATAATCAAGACGGGTATTCGGTTTTCCCTCTCAGTACTCAGTGTTATGAGACTGAGGCCCACATACCATCATTATCAGAATACTGAACAGTCTCGTCACTCCACAAAACTCCCTCGTGCTGCTCTTCAGTGGTCAAACCCTCTCCCTCCCCAAGCCACTGGCATCCAGTGATCTATCTTTGCCCATACAGTTAAGAAACTTAATATTTTAAAAACACATGTACCAAAAAAAAAAAATACCCACCATGATTCAGAAAAGGAGATGTATAGACAGTACCTAATTTTCAACAAGAATTTACTTGCTCTTGTTTTTTGATTAATTTCATGGTTTCTTCAGAAAATTTAGTAATGACCTACTTGCTTTACTTATTAAAGTGAAATCAAATAAACACTTTTAACATCACTGAGAAACGAATCATCTTTTAATATTGGAAGGTTAATCCTGGATATTTAAAAAAACATTTTTGAAAGAGGATAATAACACTTCACAAACTGCATTTACCTAAAACTAAAAGCATACCCCAACAAAAATAAAATAAAAGCACATCCCTTGAGTTTTTTCTTTAAATATAGAAAAAGATGTTCATATTTTCATCATTAAGTCTATAAATTCTAAAATTGTAAATAACTTTAATCAGAAACGTGAAAGCCTTCTTTTACTCCCAAGTTAAATAAATTGAGTTCAGTCAGGTCACCTTGAGAAATTCAAAATATCAAGGTAGGTAGCTGAGTCACTATCTTATCCTATTTTTTGGACAGACCAAAAAAAGTGAAATTTCCTAATTTTTTCAATTCCCAAATGATTATTCAACTTAGAATGAAACTAGCCAGAGGTAGAACATTCTATTTCCACTTGCAGAAGAAGAAAGTGGTGTTAAAAGCAAAACTACCATTTCACAATGATTACCAGGAGAGTATAAAAGCAGCAGGAATCATGTCTTCTGAGGTCAGTTTAAAGAATTTGGGATGTTTCATCTGGGACTAACAAATGGGAGCCCATCATCAGCTTCAGAATCAAAACACAGCCTTGCCATCCACTAGCTCTGGTAATCTTAGGCAAAATGATATGACCTCTCTGATCCTGTTTCCTCACCTTAAAGTGAGATTATACACTTAACTCTGAGCATTGTTGTGAGGGCTAAATGAGTTAATGCACACAATAAGCGTGAAAAAGGGATAGCTGATGGCAGGAGGTGTACGAGCAGGTAGGTGAAATGGATCATGGCTGGTGTTGTGATAAAAATACTATAGACATCATTGTCAGAGCCAGTGTTTTCCATCAAGAGTTAAAGATGGACATGACATTTAGAATATTGGCAAGAAATGAAGCTAGAAAGCATAGGTGGCCTACTGTGACTAAAAATATTTTAAAAAACAGGTTACGTGACTATATGCCCAAATGCTATGCAATCAGCAACAAGAATCCTTATTTTGTACATAACTCACTTTCTAACATACTATTAAGTTCAGATTATCCTTTCATTGGTTTTAAACAAATTAAGGTGACTCAAGTTGCTTTTAATAAAAGAAAAAAAACTGTATCTATTTTTGTAAAACAAATAATTTTTATTCAAACTAAATCCATGGGATTTATAAAAATCAGTGGCATCTATTCAAAAGGGCCTCTAATGACAGAGGCCATTACGTGGCTAATTTTATACCAGCTACTGTGGCAGCCTTTAAGTGCTTACACATACAAACACCAGTCTCTCTCCATGGGTAGTAGCATTTAAGTTCCTAAGTAAGAAAGCCAGTTCCACTTACTTGACTACCTGGGGGCAGAGCAGGCGGGTGGCTAAGGAAGGCTTTTATGGGCTGATTCATTCACTCATACACACCCTGAGTGAGTGCGTCTGTGTGTGGGGGACTGGATTCTCACTGCCAAGATGGTACCAACGTTAACTCTCCATTAAAAAAATAAGGTTTTTTAATATCTTTTTCTACACCATGCCTGTTGAAATCTCACTCATCCTTCCAGCACATGGTTAAATGCCTTCTTTCACAAACAGCTACTCCTGATCCTCTATCCCCTCAAATTGCAACCCCAATCTTAATCAACCAATTTCTTTTTGGTGCTTATAATGCCCTTTGATCAGACTGCACTGTTTACACCCATCATATTAGAAGCATCTATTTACATTACCACAGGATTGATGCACTCTATCCATCTAAAAACACCCAATTACACAAAGTGAGAGAAATGCTAGACCTCGACTAGGTGTTGAAATAACCAGATGAACAACAAACAGGCTTTGGGTAAAGGTTCACAGCCTAGTGGGGAAGTCAGGCAGACAATGAACACATTTCAGCATGCACACCCTGTGCAATATAACAGCGACACGTCCAAAGTAGGCTAATAGTATGGAAAGGGGAGAGATCTGGGACGGCTTCACAGAGAAATGCCTTGAGGGCATCTTGTGGGATGAACAAGACCACATCAGGTAGAACAAACATCATGTTCAGTTAAGAAGGCATGAAACATGGGCATAGTTTCAGTCATGCCAAATGAAAGAGTTCTAGAGATCTGCTGTGCTTATAGTTACCAATACCGTACTGTAAACTTAAAAATGTGTCAAAGGGTAGATCTCATGTTATGCGTTTTGTACCATTAAAAAAAAGAAAAGGCCTGAAGTAGCACGGAGTGTGCGGGAACATGCAGGGAGACCACCATCGCTAGAGTTGACACGGGGGAAATGGAGTAGAAGGAGAAGCTACAGAACAGGTCAGGGGCCCAATCAGAATGGGCCTTGTGACCTATGCTTGGGCTTTGAACTTTCTAAGCAACAGGAGCTACGGAGAACTAGGATCACGTCCGTATCGTCAGAGCAGCAACTCAGGAGGCGGCATGAGACATGGGTGGACTGACCATGGTGGGCACGAAAGCCAGACTAATGCCATCTAGATGAGACCACGTGCGTCTCAGGGCCTGCCTCAGGTGAAAGGTACTAGGGCAGGACTGTCTTCTCAACAATGCCGTCTGGAGGGACTTCGGTCAATTCATTTGTTTACTTTCCCACCAAAATAGAAGATGCATGTCAGGGACCCTGTCTTGTTCAAAGCTCTATTCCCAGTCCTACAACAGGGCCTTGAGTATAGCACATGCTCAGCAAATACTTGCTAAATCAATGAATAACTCTCTCGAGGGCAGGAACTCTGACTAACTGATATATGTAACCCTCAATACTTTCAGGACTCTTGTATACAGAGGCAGGATGCTCAAAAATATGAGTTGATATATTTTCTTAAAGGCACATGTCCTGGATTTTTCCAAAAACTGAAATCCAATGATCTCGGTGAAAAGTCCAAAAACAGAATTCTTCCAACCACCAGCTTTGCACACCCCACCTGGGCATCTAGCAATCCAGCTGGGTCCTCTCTGCTTCATAAATCATTGCTGGCAACACAGCTTCCGCAATTAGAGCTCAGCTGTCGGTTGTGCTGACAATGATCAGGACAGCCAATGACACAGTGTGGCCCTCCCATGTTTGTGTGACAGCATGAACGCACATCACAAGGGTAGCATGTCATTCCCATGGGCCACTGCCACAGCGGATCCCCCTTCTTAGCCCTCACTGGTTACTGGCTCACGCAACCAGTAACTTTGGTGGGGGTGGGGGTGAGAATTTCCCCTTAGGAGGAAAGATGAAGGGATTTAATTCCTCTATTTTATCAAGAGTCAGTAAGAGAGTTTCAGAACTCTTCTAAAGTGGAATATGCCAGGCTCAAACCATCAGCCTGACCAACCTGTCCCATGGTGTACACAAGTCCTGTAACTGCCAGAGTTTTGTCAGCTGCCTGCTCACAGGGATTCTTCCAATAGTTTGTTGTTTCTCTAAAAGTGTCCCCTACCTGCGAGAAATAAGCCCCTGGTGGTGTCCCCACTAATGACAATCAAGAATCCTTCCTGGAGGGATCTACGTTATATGTAGTACGTAGGGGCATAAGCACAAGACTCAGGTCTGGGTTCAAATCCTGACTCTGCCACTTACCAGCTGTGTGACCTTACATAAATGACAACCTTTCTGAATCTCAATGTTCTCATTTGTAAACAGGAAATAATCCTCCCTGCCTTGAAGGGCTCCGGAGAGATTAGATGAGAGAACCCAAGAAGCACATGATGCCTGATGCTCAACAGGCATTCCCGGAATTCCTCTCACCCTGGGTGGGTGTGTTAGGTTAGTGAGTAGCCACCTTGTGAGGAGTGGGCCTCACAGTGGTTTCACACACAGAGAAAAAAGCAGCTCAGGGAACAAAGTATGGACATTGACAGTTTGCAGCTTCTGCCTCTTCTACACTTGAGAAAGTTACAAAATGTGAGTGACAGAAGCTGTCCCAAGAACATAAAGGAAGCTAATCTATTTGCAAAGGGAGGAAATAGCACAGAATGAAGATTGTAAGTTGTTTGAAGCTTCTTCCCTAATTACCACTCATAATGAAAATTTAATTGCCAAGTTAAAAGCAAATTTCACTTTTTCTGTCAGAGAATCTCTGCAGAAACTGGCACGTTTTGTTTGAACAGGAAATCAAAGTTACTTTAATGCTTAAATGAGATCTAAGGAGCTGCAGATGTTCCCCTGGAAATAACAAGCTTCAAAACTCTGTCCTACCGGGTTGTACCAACTCATGGCTACAGTTTTGAGCTGAATAACTCACAAAGCTGGAAGTGATTCAAATGCCATGTACCCCACTGCCTGGCACTCTAGGAACAAGGCAGGGAGATGGTGGTACAGAGAGAGGGTCTCTGGCATCAAGGAACTCACAGGTGAGTAGATGAGAGAACCAGGAAACCACCACTGAAACAAAAGAGTAAGCCTCCCAGGGTGCTTTCTCCCATCCTAGCCTTCATTCTGAGCCCCCTGGGTGTCAGCCAAAAGACAGCTCACCTGTAAGGTGCTTGTGAGGAAGTTGTTCTGGGAGACAATGTCTACAAAGAAGTCAGCTGGGATCTCGCCGAGCTGGTGGTACAGGATGGAGATGAGGTTGATGTAGAGGGTGTGGTGCCTCACCATGGCTTCCTCAGATCGGCACAAGAGATTCAGGAGCCGCTTCCAGTGCTCAAATGCTTCATACACGTTCCCCAGGAGGAAGCAGACAAACGCAAACTGGAGTTCACCTGAAAGGCCCAGAGAGGAGAATGATCCTGAGACAGTGCAGTGGCGGCTGGCTGTACCAGGCTGCCGAGTCTACTGGACTTCAGCAATGGGTGGTGGCCTTGTGTCCTGGCGCTCCTGCAGAGCACTCCTACGAGGCAGGGTTTTGTACTGAGCAGATGGTCAGTAAAAGTACGCAGAACTGCTCCAAACTCAAGGCATGAAAAGCCAAACTGTGGTTTTGTAAATTCAGACTACAAAAGAAAAGGGACACCTAGTATTTGCCTGGCACTTAAGAAGTTTACCACTGCTTCGGATTCTGTGTCTCCCTCTTTCTCTGACCCTCCCCGGCTCAAACTGTCTCTGTCTCTCTCTCTCAGAAATAAATAAAAAACATTAAAAAAAAAAAAAAGTTTACCAAATGTGTTCATGCATATTATGCCAGGCGGATCCCAAGCTTGGCTGCCCAGCAGAATTACTAGGAGAGCTTATTAAAGATGAAGCTGCCTGAGCCCCACCCATGGAGATCCTGGTTGAGGACAGATGACAGAGCATCACTATCTGTAGCTCTAAAAGGTTTCCCGGGTGATTCTGATGCAGACGGTCTGTTCCAGGGCAGGGGAAATGCTGTACCACACCATGTAATCCTCAGCCCAACTCCACAAGGTGTTCCGGGAAGGTGGTATTTATCTCATTTTGCAGAAGTCAAGGGACTTGCCCCAGGTCACACATCTCATGCTTGCCAGTGGGAACAATAGAGATAAAACAGATTTCCTATTAGGTGACAATAGTTCCAGAGCCCCCCAGAAGAGGAAAATTCGTGAGTACTTGTTCCAGGCTTAGCCTGCCAGCCCGAATTGCTTTCATTACCTTACCCACAGGGCTCTGTAATTTGATCTCTATGAAGAGCTCTGGAACCAAACTACCTGAGTTCAAATCTCAGCTCTACCCTTCACAGCTGTGTGACCTTGGGCAAGTTACTCAATCTGTTTATACCTCAATTTCCTTAATTGAGGGCTGTGGTGAGGATTAAATGAATCAATATAGTACACATAAAGCATTTAGGATAATGCCTGGCACAAAGCTGCACTCAAGAAATATCATTATTATTCCCACGTTTCCACCAGATGCCTATCGCAAACAAAGAGACCTGATAAGCCAGAAGCCACTGTCCTTGGGCAAACGACTGGGTCTCTCATTGCCAAGATATACTGTTGCTGATGAGAGACATTCTCTCTGGCTTCAAATTTAATGAGGGCCTCTGTGGCGTTATATATACCTACATGTGGGCCATAAGAAGAACAGATGCACTCAACCAAGTACCTCTTTAAATGCATGCTGTTTGATCTCTGTCCCCTCCAGAGACCTGAAAAACTAGTTCCCTATTCCTAGGAATAGGATGTAATGTGGAACTAAGTTTGACTAGCTGTCGGGTCTAGATGTTAGATGTCTGACTAATAATTTCAAGACACAAATTTTCTTTGTATTACTGAGGTTAATGATTTGCTTCTACAGTTGGCTTTACCTGGTTAGTTGTGAAAATAGGAGCTTATTCTCTGAATTTAGGGCACTTACTTAATTTCATGCATTTCTGGCCTAGTCTAAAATTAAGTTATGAGATCAGAAATCATTTCAAAGAGCTGTCAGGAAGACATAAAGTTATCCCTGCAACAGACCTTTCACAAGATTACTTTGGAGAACTAAAATGTTTAAGAGGTAGAAAACAGGATTTCTGTTCATTTCTAAGCCAGAATTTCAAGTGTTACTTACCAAACGATAATACTGTGTAATGCATTAAGATGCACCCATTAAAATGTGCCCTTTTATCAGCGAGCCAATGATATAAAGGGCCCTATATTCAAATTTCTTCCAACAGAAAATATGCAAATACCTGGACAATTTGTAAAAGAAAAAATATAAATAGCTGTTAAAGGTGTGACAAATGTTTGCTGTCACTAGCAATCAAAGAAATATAAATTGAAACAAGACATCATTCTCCAACCATCCAGTTGGAAGAGGCCTTTGCTATATTGCCATTTCAGAGGTGATGCAGAACAGCCTCACCCCAGTGGGTTACCTGCTCCCTCTGATCAACAATTTCAGCCCTGGGGGTGCCTCAGTGGCTCAGTCAGTGGGGCATCGGTCTTCGGCTCAGGTCATGATCTCGCGGGTCGTGAGTTCGAAACCCATGTTGGGCTCTGTGCTGACAGCTTGGAGCCTGGAACCTGCTTCAGATTCTGTGTCTCCCTCTCTCTCCCTCTACCTCTCCCCAACTCGTGCTCTGTCTCTCTCTTTCTCTCTCAAAAATAAACATTAAAAAAATTTTTTTTAATTTCAGCCCTAAATGTATGTCTAAGTACACACAAGGATGTTCACTAGCTGACACAACAGAGTAAACAGGGACATTTAAAGGTCCATCAACAGAGAGCTAGTTCAATAACTATGGCACATAAGCAGCCACATTAGAGGAGGGACTGTTTCAATGACATAGAAAAATGCTTATATTAAAGTAGATTATAAAATTATATATCAAGATAATATACTGTAATCTTGTTTTTGTAAAAAATCATATAAACACAAACACATATAATTGAGTAAAAGAATAAGACTAAAAGGAAATTCATAGAAATATACTGGGACCTAAATGAAATACTGCACATAGATACACACATATATAAAAGACGAAAAGTTAATACACCAAAATGTCAAAAAAGGTTATTTCTAGATGGTGGGAACTGAGAGTGAATTTGTTTGTTTTGCTTCTCTGATGACCATATATTATTTTTGCAATTAGGGAGAAAAACAACAATAAAAACAGTAAAAGTTTTTGTTTTTTTTTTTAAATTGACATTCTGGTCTAGGCCAGTGGAGGGACCCTTGAGAGAATCAGGAGTAAACTGAGGAGACAGATGGGAACCCGGAACCCTGGGCTCTGGTCTCATTTCAACCACATAGTTGGTCAAATCCTTTCCCTCTGTGAACCTTGATCTGTAAAATGAGGGGCTGGGCCACATCAATGGTTCCCAAACACGGGATTGGCTGCATCAGGTTCACCTATGGTGCTTGATTTTTATATAGACAGACAGACACATATTGCTGGGGCCCCACTCCAGATCTCTTGAATCAGTCTCCAGGGCGACAGGGCGAGACTGCTTCCTTAGCCAAGTTTAGGAACCAGTGGACTAGATAACCCAAGATGTAGCCCCTACTATACACCTGCCCCTTGGCCCACTCCCAAAGAGTCTCGTTCCTCCTCACCGAGCACATCCTGGGGGCTGCTGGGGAATTGCTTGCTGAGCACAGTCTCCAAAGCGTAACTCAGGTCCATGCTGTGCCTGGTTATCTCTGCTGGCGTGGCACCTGCCGGGTATGTCTGTGTGGGCAGCTCTGAGAAGCGGATCTCCGTCCCGGCTCTGGGCTTCATCTCTGGCAGCCGGGCCAGGCCCTCCTGGTAGCTTTTGCACTCAGTGCCGCAGCGAGGTAGATTTTGCTCCACCCGGTCCTTAGTGTGTTTCATGGATAGCACGGGAAGCACCTCTGAGAAGGCACAGATCTGCCGGCTCTCAGGCTGCAGCTTCTCCATTGTGGCCTCACTGATGAAGTTGGTGAGTGAGATCCACTTCTTGAGTGTGGCATATGGGTAAGGCCCCAGGAACTGATCCAGCTCCTGGAGGTTGGCCCTCATTGCCTCCACCTCAGCCTCCGGGGCTGGGGACAGGTCTACCTCTTCTCGAATTGCATTCCAGCGCAGGACCATCAGCCCGCGCTGCTGCAGGCTAAGGAAGAAACCCATACGAGGCCCCACCTCCCTGGGATTGGCCTTGTCCACAGAGCTATAGTGGAGGAAGTGGATGCCTGGTGGGATCATCTTCACGCCTCGGAACTTGGGTCCCACCTCCCAGGAGTTGTAGTCGATGCCGAACTCTGTCCCCTTGGGCATATTCAGGATGACCACAGTGGCCCCTTCAAAGAAGAGGCGCTTGGCAAGCTCAGGATCCATCTGCATGGCAGCCATGGGACCAGTGGTGTGTCACCAAAAAGACAACCTTTCTTGTCTTCCAGAACAACTGAAAAAAGAAAGAAATCAGAGTTCATCATTTGCTGAGGATTCTCCATGTGCCAGACTGAATCAGACCCTTGATATAATTATCTCCCTTAATCCTCACCACAACCCTTAACCAGTTTTACCAATGAGAAAAATAAGACTCACAGAGAAAGATTTTGTGTTTTAATGAGCGAGAACACTTACTCGACAGCTAGAAAGACATCAAGGAGAAGTGACATGCTCAAGGTCACACAAATTAGAACCTGGGTACCCTGTCCTCCAGGCCAGTATTCTTCCCACTGTCCACTCGGGATCTGCTCTCACATCTCTCTCTCACAACAGAGACTGAAGGTGGGGAAAGCGTGGGTGGTCTGTTCAAAACTATAACTGTGCCTAAACTGTCTGACACTATACCTCTGCTTCAACCCAAAAGCTAAAGAGTCTCAAGGACTTGAGAAGGATAGACCAACTTTCCCATAAGCCATGAGGAAGGCCCAGACCCGGACAAAAGGTGGAAAGTGGGTGCTCAGAATCTAAAATTCACAAAAGATTTGGGAAGTGGAGAGATTTAGAATCACAAACTTCCTCTGTTCCTTTCACACATAAAAACCCTAATGTCCAGGGAGTAAAACAACTTCCCAAAGGGCGCACAGTCAGCGGTAACTCTGGACCACTTGCCCGGAATGGATTCACGTGGCATGGCTGTCCCAGGATCAGTATTTAGAAGAGAAAGAGCCTAGAACACTTATTTAACCCACCTCTGAACTATCCATGGGGACATAGTGATAAAACATGTAGGCAGGCAGATACTGCCTGGGTGGTATTTATAGGAATGGCTCCAACATGAACTAATTTAATCCAAACAATTATCTAACCTTCTAGTCCCAAGATACTTACATATTCAACTCAGCCTAGTAATCACTGAGCGCCTGCACTATGTCAGGATCTTTGCCTAAAACAATGATCTGTGAAGCATCCACTGTGAAACAGCCACTGCTCTCTAGGCACTTCTGACCCAGCCAGATATACAAACAAGACCCCCAAATTTCACAAACAGAAGAACCAGCTGCCTGTTTGATTTTTCTTACTCTTTTTTATGTTAAACAAAACTATACAGGGAGGAAAGGTACACCAACCTGTTACCAAAAATGTTAAGGGCATATTTTATTATCTTAACCCAAAACCACTACAAAGGACTCTCACTCTGAATCAGCATTTTTTTTCCCCTCAAACTGCAAATCACAACTCACTAGTGGGTCAAGAAAGCAATGCAGAGTCTCAACCACCATTGATTTTTTTTAGAAATGAAAACAGAATAAAAAGATATCAGAGTGCATCATGAGTAATAAAGATAATAACTGTTTTCTGAAGTTTTGTGTTTGTATGTACTCTTGGTCATGAGGTAAAATGTATTTGTTACTGTAGGTCAGTCAAAAAAAGTCTGAATGCCATTGCTAAATAATTTGCATCATCATCTTCTTATACCCAACCCTGAATTCAGAAGGTACTTAATAAATACTTGCTAAGGGGCACCTGGGTAGCTTAGTCGGTTAAGCGTCCGACTTTCGCTTAGGTCATGATCTTGCGGTTCGTGGGTTTGGGCCCCACGTCGGGCTCTGTGCTGACTGCCAGCTCAGAGCCTGGAGCCTGTTTCAGAGTCTGTGACTCCCTCTCTCTCTCTGACCCTCCCCTGCTCACACTGTCTCTCTCTCTCTCTCCTAGAAATAAATAAAACATTAAAAAAGAATTAAAAAAAAAAACTTGCTAAATGAAAAGCTATTGCATTCAGAATAAGTGTTCATCAATAAGCCATTTTCGCTTGGGGTATCTGTGTGCTCCTCCTTGATAATGACATTCCTTTGTTCTAATTCCACCAGCCCACAACTCTCTTCACTGTATCTTCAGCAGCTGGCACGTGGCCTGGCACGGAGAAAATGCCCTGGAGTGGAGGAACTCATATCCATCTGCTTCTTTCTACCACGTCCTACACAAGTTACCTGTCCCTCACCCAAAGAGTGCCTGCTCCTCCGATCTGATCTCCACCTGAAATTTCCCAAGTGCCAATCTAAGCATGTCACCACCCACACTTCATGCCATCTGAGTGACTTCTCATTTGGCTCCTGGAAAACCAGAATTCTTACCGGGACCTACAAAACCTTCAAGGCCTGTGCAGCCTGGCCCCTGGCAACTCCTCCAGGCTGTTTCACACCGGGCACTCTACCCCTTCCCCCCCGCCCCCCACCCCCAAGCTCTGTTCCAGCCACACTGGCCTCTTTTAGACCCTCCAGCAGGAGTCTCTCTGGATAGAAAACTCTTCCCTGCCCTCGTCCTCAAATCATTTTTCTGATCTCAGCACAACGGTCATTTCCTCAGTCCAGCTTCCTTGGCCGGGGGCTAGATCCAAGCGCTACACTCTCAAGGCACCTTGTGCCTTTCCATTTCATTTATCAGGCTGCAAATCTGCCTGTTTAATAGTCGGTTGTCACTCCCGTGAGACTTGAGTCTTTTTGTCGCTCTAGCACATGTTAGATGCTTGATAAGCATTTATTTAATGAAAACATGATATCCATTTTGTAGATGAGAAACAAAGGGTCGGTTTGGGCAAATACCTTACCCAAAATTACAGAGTCGGACATAACCATGTCGGACACAGTCACAGTCTCTGGCCCCCAAGTCCTAAAGTTAGTGGGGGAAAAGCGAAGTTACCCCGAATGCCCCAGGAAGTACTGGCGACGGTGTCTCTTAGGGAGAAAGGCCGGCAGAGCCACCAGGGTCCCACCACCGGCCCAGAGACCAGGACGCATGCGTCCCGGCGAGGTGCCCCACTTCAGGGCACTCCGCGACCCCAAGCCGGGAAGACGGTGCACAGGCCGCACAGATAACGAAAGCAAAGGAGTTAAAACAGGCCAGGACGCCGCACTCACCAGCTTCGGACTCTCCCCACTCTCAGGCACCGGGGAAACGCACCGGAAGTTCTCCCGCTTTGGCGCGGGACGGGAGCGACAGGGAAAGCGGCCCGGCAGAACTCTTGGTCTCTGGAAAAACGGTCCGTGCCTGCAGGTTCCGCCCCATCAAATATTGCCTTTTGTCACTTTCAGTTACACGTTAAAGCTCCTGAGCCGTGGGTAACAACTTTCACCAAACTATGCATATCCTGCTCCAGAAACAAATCCACCAGCCCTGTTCCTTTGGTCTCAGTCATTGTGGCTGAAGCTGGGGTCAAGATCATGACTGTCTAGTAGCCACATTCTGATGCTCAGTGATGGTCCGGGTCAACCAGTTTCTCCCTGAGTGTCACTGCTGGCCTTTTAGCACCCAGTCTCAGCTTCCAAGCACACTCGATCCTAGAGGAGATTGTTAGAAATCCAGCCCCCAGTGTGGAGAGGAACCAGTCTCAGTCACAGTAGCATGGATCCCTCCAGCCATAATCGCCCAGTGTTCTCAGGCGGTGCAGGCTACAAACTGGAACTTGATGGTCTTGGTCTCTGTTGTTTCCCTGGAACCTAGCAGTAAGCTCCAGGCACAAAGCCTCAGCTGGATAGATAGCTAGATATACATATAGATGAAAATGTAGAGATCGATCAAGTTTAATTAATGACAGCATTAATAAATGGATTCTATTTGGGGATCTAGCTCTGTGCTGGGTGGTTGTATCAGTCAGGGTTCAACCAAAGAAGCAGAACCAATAGGAAATATATATTAAGAGATTTATTGCAAAGAATTGGCTTATGTGGTTGTGAGGGCTGGCTACATAAGTCCAAAATCCATAGGGCAGGCCATTCTTATATGACTTCTAAGCCTTACATTAGCCCTAGTAAGTAGGTATTAGTATTCCCAACTTACAGAAGAGAAAACTGAGGCTCGGAGAGGTGAGCCTTACAGCTGGAGAGGATGCAAACCAAGGTCTGACTAGCTTTTCTTGTCCCTGTGCTACTGCTTCTTAGCTAGTCTGTCACACTTCTTAAGTGACAGCTGGGCACACCAATCTGTCTCAGCAAAAACTCTTCTCTTAGTGGGTTGCAGACTAGACTGGGCCTTGAAGTCATGTTTAATCACAATAAGCTGCTGCAGGATTAACCAGAGATGGCCTCCATCAGTCACAGTCATGCATGTCAATCTCAGCCTGTTGTGTCAGTTCCATTTCCTGCACGAAGAAGCTCAGCTCCCTCTCTGACCTTCATCGTTCCCAGTATTAGGTGCTGAGCTCCACAGTCTGGTCTCAGAGCTCCCTGTTCCAGCTGGGCTCACCATTTTCTCAGAGACTCCAGGGAACTAATTATGGGCATGAGAGCTACAGACGGTGGCCCTGGAATCCCACCTTGTGGGTCACATCTCCATCCAAATCAGGTGTTTCAACTTCGGTACTATCGACATTTCAGACCAGATAATTCTTTGTTGTGGGAGCTCTCCTGTGCATCGTAGGATGTTTAACAGCATTCCTGGTCTCTACCTACTAGATGCCAGTAGCAACCCTCAGTTGTGACAGCCAAAAATGTCTTCAGACATTGCTAAATGTTCCCTGGGGCAGGGTGGGGTGGGGGCAAAATCACACCCCCACCCTCTGTTTGAGAGCCACTGAACTAGATAAATCAACCCCAGGTTATTCCCAGGCAGCACAGAGGCTGACCCTGTATTTATGGGAGATAGAGATACAGATGCAGAGTGTGTGGGGACCCAATATGTGCAAACCATGTCCTATTTCAGAGCCCCATGAGTGAGAGACAGCTAAAAGAAACATACAGGAAAAATTCAGGTAAGGATTCACAAGGCTCCTGACAGCAATTGCCCCTGACAATGGACAGGAGTCTGGAGAGAGTTGAAGAACTGGCTTTCATTGCACAGAGTTTTGTGGCATTTAACAAATTACCTTTAAAAAGAAAAAAATAGTATTTAGTATTCAAAATTACCAGGAAATGTTGGAAATTGTGTTTAAAATAGTCTTTGGAATAATATGTACCAGGTGTCTTAAACTCTGAAGAGATACATGTAACTGCAAAAAGAACAGGGGAAAAATGCATCCAATTATTAGCAGTGGCTCTCGTAAGATTTGGGGCAATAAAGAAAGGTGGTGTGGGGTGAGTCACCTAGTAGAATAAAAGGAAAGTGTGAAACATGCAACTCGGGTAGCCCAAGAAGTGAGTTTAAGTTTTACATAGCTTATGGATTTTTAATTTTATATTTTTGCATTTATTTTTATGAAGACCTCATTTCTTTGGCAAGTGACACTAGTGTTCCATTTATGAAGTAATATTGTTTCCTTTACATATATATTTACAGAGTCAGTTTAAAGAAAGAAGTCAATAATGGGACAGGTGGCACATATAGGGATATGGCAACATATATGGCAGTGGGCAAAAGCTGAAGCTCGGGACTGCTGTCTACATTATCCGCTAGGCTCCCATGGAGAAGGGTTGTAGGAAGAGATCCCAATCCAGGTGGTCTTCTTTCAGAAAGAGGAGGGGTCATGCTGTTCCTCTGTACACCAGGCACCTCTGCATCCTGGGGGCCATGTGCTTTTTCCTTCTGCCTGGCATGTTCTTTTTTCTCACCTTACTGGATCTTTCTCTTCACGCAGCTCTTCTGCATGGAGGCCATAACTGGCCACCTTATTTAAAGTGGTCTCCCTCAGCAACCATCTCCTTCCTCTGTGCATTTCCTTCCCGGTGCTGATCACTCTGGAACTGTCTCTGACTGCTTGCCTGTTGTGTTGTCTGTTTCCTGCACTCTGCTAGTATGAGGGTTCCTGGAGGGCAGGAGTGTTGTCTTATTTGCTGTTGTGGCTGCAGAACCTAACCCAAGATATGGGCCATAGTGGAAGCTGCAAATATGGGTTGAATGCAAGTGATTCAAGGTTGGGATGTCTCCACCCCAGTTTTAGCCCTTCCCACAATGCCAACTTGTACCTGTAGCCAAGGTCAGAGAGAGAGAGACAGAGAGAGAGAGAGAGAGAGAGATGCCAAGGCAGTTTGTGGTTCAGCATCAAACACATTTATTTCACTTTTATTGAGTATACAAGAACAGAGAGCACACGCATACAGCACAGAGCACTGAGGTGGGGGAGCGCGGGACGAGAGGGGAGGGAGGGGTGTGAGGAAAAAAGAACAGGACAGCATCGCAGTTGGTTGGTAAGGTGCTTTTGAGAAAAAAAAGTATTTAGAGTGATGTTGCTCATGCAATTGCAGGCCAGTCTTGGAATGTGCTTGCAGGATTAAAAAACTGAAAACAGGTCCTGGCACTTCCTGTACCCTCAGATGGAAAAGATCCCAAGAAAGCAAAATAAGAGAAAATGATGATCTGAATGACAGCAGACTGGGAAAAGACCCTGGAGAGCATCTGGTTTATCCTGCTTATTTGGTAAGTGGGGAAACTGAGGCCCAAAAGGGGGGTGGGTGGGATGGGACTAGTCCAATGTCTCATGGCTGAGCCAAGATACCCTCCAGGACATTTTCCACTATGCTACATGGTCTCCTGGGTGGAGAGGCAGCACAGAAACGATGCAAAATGTAAAAAGGAAAAGAAGAAAAGTAGGTTGAAGACAGACAAGACAAACATCTATATTCTCTATGAAGAGGAGGATGGGGAGGAAACAGTGCCCTAGATTTCAGCCTTGCAGCTCCCCTCCTCCCTGGTGGCACTGCCTGCCTCTCCATGGAAGGAAGGTCACAGCATCCATGGGATGGAGATCTCCACAAACCCTGGCCAGCCTGCAAGCTAAATCTGGTCACGTCATCCCTGCCCTGAAGCCACACATTCAGGGGCTTGAGATGAGGTTTAGAATCGAGAACAAATATTCTCCCTCTGTGGTGTGACCAGGGTGGTAGGGACTCCTGAGCCAAATTCCAGGTGGCCCCGGGAGGGTGGAGCCATTCTGGCTCATGGCCCAGAAAGAATGGGAGCTCTCAAGTTGGGAGGGGTGGGAAGGAGGTTCTGTGGCTTCTCCACCAGGGTGGTAAAAAGAACCTGGCACATAGAAAGTGAGCCGTCGCACTCAGGGGAAGTTGGAGCGGGCCACCGGCCTTGCTCCTGGCGGGATGTGGCCAAATCTGCCATCTGAGCCCCAGGTGCAGGCCTCTTCCTGCCTGCTCTGTCCCATTTTTGCCCACAGAGGCAAACACTGTTCTGGTTTCCTGTCCTGCCTCAGGTCAGCACCAGCTTAGCAAACTAAGTACATATGTCACTGGGGTAACTGATAAGTAAGCCTGGGCCCTCTGGGGGGGGGGGTGTCACTGGGCAACGACCCATACTCGGAGAGAATGTGGGAATCTCTGAGGGGCAAGCCATGATTGAAGATGTTAGGCTGGCTCAGAGGACTTCTAGGTCCCTCCCATCCCCCACATTCTCTCCTTCAGCCCAAGGATAGTGCCTGGCACATGTAGGTACTCAATAAATGAAATTTGTTGAATGAATTTAATGACCACTTTAGTGGCGGACTGGGGAGCTAAGATGGGACTGAGAAATTAAAGTGCAGTGGGGATATAGTCCCTCCAAAGAAGACTCATTGAGCTCAGAGAAGCAGCTCATGGCAGGCAAGCCTGGGAAAGATTATGTGTGCCAGAGGTCAATGCCAAGCTTTTGATGGGGTCTTCTCCAAGGGCCTCTGTGATCTGGAGGCAATTCAGGGCCCTCTGAGGGTACAGGCTCAAAGCTCAGATGCTGGCTGAAGGGGAGGTTCCTGAAGCCAGAGTCCTATACGTAGATGGAGCCTTTGAGCAACACCACCTCTCACCCTAAGCTTATTCAGGGGCAGGCAAAGCCTTTGGAAATGAAGTTTTGACCTATCAGGGCCTGCCCTGTTTCATGGTCTCTATGGTTGCTTTGGCCCGGGAGGAAGAGAATGAATGTGGGAGGGCAGAGGATAAGAGTGAGCTGGGACTCTCCAGACAGCCAGGTTAAAGCCACCATCCTCTGCAGCGACCAGTGGCATCACCTCCCTCTGGAGGGGGAGTCAGCTGTCACAATGTGGTCAGGGAAAAGACATGTGGCCAAAAAAAAAAAAAAAAAAAAAAACTGAAAACGGAAGCAAATTCCCGAGGGAGGTAGCAGAATCCTAACTCTGGACCCCACACCGGAGCATAAACCACGCCCTGGTGGCTACCGCCCAAGGGGAGAAGGCATCTTGGACTATATCTGTTTCTTCCTTCTTGCCAAACCCCTGCCCCTCCATCTGGGGACCCCACCCCTCCCCACCAATCAACCAGTTACAAATACCACACACTGTATTACTACACCGAACCGTCAGCTCCTACTGTGAGCAACCCACAGCCAGAGTCCAGGTCTCCTTGGCCGGGCCGGTTCAGGAAGATCTAAGATCCTTGGGATACATCAATCACAGGCGGATAATTATAATTTTAAAATGTCAGCTTCATACTTACCAGCACTGTTTATTTTAATATTTGTTTCCTGTTATATGTAATATACATAACTTAAAAGCACATCCGTACACATTTCCTACAAGCTGCACCTTCATAATGAGAACCCATAAACATACAATGTCTACTTCCCTTCCTGTGGCTGGGTTTTCTGTTCTTGCTTTCTTTTCTTTTTCTTGTTGCAAACCAGTCATCCGCAGTGGCCCTCAGCAGGACCAGGAGACAGAGGGAGGGGGGACGGGAGCGGGGGAAACGCAGGGTCGGGGACAGGGAGGAGAGAGCCGAGACAGAAATGACCATAAGACGCGTGAGTCCGGGGGAGGGAAGGTGGAAGAAAGGAAGGTGGATTTTGCAGCCCAGTGTCAAGACCCAAAAAATAATAATCCAGTGTTCCTCCTCCTTTCCGAGTTGGGGGGGTGGTTCTTTCTTTCTCGGCAAATGGTTGACGGTGCATGTCTTGCTGCTGTGACTTCTCTTGCTTTGCTGCGAAAGTGTTTCCTTTGCATTGGAGTGGGCAACACACGTCGCAGCACAAATGGAGTTCTCATCCACTCAATGTAACGTGCAGAACCGGGGTCGTGTGGGACTCCTACCATCAGTGTGGTCTGGCTTGCTTTCTGGCGTTCCACGGGGCTTTGAAAGGGGGAGCAAGAGATTATTGTTGTATTTTTTTTTTCCTGAAAAATCCCACCAATTCTTCATTGTGTCTGCAAAGGAAATGTAGGCGTTCAGATGTTGGTTGTTGCTGTTGGCCAACGGCTCGGCCAGCCCCAGCAGCAGTGCAAGGACGCGGTGTTTCCTGTATATATATCTATATCTATATATATCTATATATATATGCTTTTACTTTCCCAGTCCCTCTTCGGTGACAGTATGTCATAGCTGGGACTTCGGTGTTGAGTCGGAGAATCCAGAATGAAGGCCCCTTCTTGACGGTTCTCTGGCTTGGATTGGACCAGAAATGCCAGCATCTCTTCACAGAGGTCAGGATTCCTAGAGCCAGAGGCATGGAGGGAAACAGAGGAAGGGGCCAAAAAAATTAGTAACTTTGGTCACTCATCTTTAGATATGTTGCAAGGGGTTGTTTTAGCTGCCTTTCCTGTATGCCCTTTATCATGGCTCAGGAAGATACAGTGACCTGTCCAAGCCACACAGCTTGTAAGTGGCCGCTGAGACCTGCACATCTGTCTGACCCCAGAGCCCATGTGTGTTTGCTTGTTTGTCTCCAGGAAGGTGGTATGTTCTCTTCCTCCTGGAAATCTGTCCAAGTTTCCTTTAACACTAAGAAGCTCAGATCACCCGCATTTCACCTTTTCTTCCTACCTTTTCTCATTCTAAGAAATATTTAGTTGTGATTGCAGATGCTCTTTGTTTTCCCTCTCTGGTCTCCATGGGCCTGGGTGTCCTGGGGATTAAACCCCGGGGAGCAGTGCTTAAATAAAGAAATTGGAGTCTGGATTCCAACTCAAGTTTGACTCCAAAATTTTGTAGTGAAGGGCATGGGCTCTGCAATCAGACTGCCTGAGTTCAAATCCCATTCCATGGTTTATGAACTCTGCAGTCTTGGGTGAGTTTCTTAACTTCTTTAGGCCTCAGGTGCTCCCCTGCAAAATGGATGCTTCCTCATGCAGTTACAGAGAGGATTCAAAATAAGAGTTAGCAAATAGGAAGTGCTGAACAAATACTGACTGTTATTATTACTATTGCTGTTGTTAACTTAGCCACACTATTTTGATCTCCTTGAGGGCAGTGGCTGCCTTTTACTTATCTTTGTCTTTCAAATGCTCGTCACAGTGCATGGCACACAGCAACTACCCAAAACCATTTAACAGGTGGAGTATCATTCCTGCCCTTCACCACTCATGTATGGTCAAGTGCTAATGCAGTCATATCAACAAAACCCTTCACAGCTTATGTGACATATGGGAAAACTGAGACCCAGAGGGTTCCATGTCTAGTGAGTCGGTGGCAGAAATGAGACTAGAACCCAAGACTCCTGCTTTGAAATAGGTCAATTTTTTCTCCTACTTAATCAAACTCTTGAAGGTAAAGACCCTGGATGGGGACCACCCTCTTAGTGGCAGCATTGAGGAGAGAGGTCCTGTCTGAAGGAGGTGGGCCAGTGGGAGAAGATGGGACAGAAGACTCACATCAGGACCCTGAGCTGCAGGGAGAGAAAAGACCCTGTGTGAGATGGGTGTGCTTTCCACACTCACAGCAAGATCATTAAAAAGGAGGAGCAGGAAGGCCAAGAGTCCACTGGAGTGTAAACAGATGTTTCTGGAGGATTCAGGGAAGAAAGAGAAGCTCAAGACCAGCAAGATTGGACACCTGTGTGGAGACAGAGCCAGAGGCTGGTGGTAGAAGCTTATGGTCCAACTTTCTCAGGGCTCTCATCAATCCCTGAAAGTGGCAAGAGATAAGGATGCAGGTTCACACTGCTGAGCACTTTCTGTGTGTGAGACACTGTCCTTATGTGTCACTGCTGTGGACTGAATATTTGTGTGTCCTTCCCCCACCCCACCCCCCAACAAAATTCATATGTTGAAGCCTTAATTCTTAATGTGAGGATTTGGAGGTGGGGGGTCTTTGGGAGGTAATTAGGTCTAAGGGTGGGGCCCTCATATACTCATATCTCATAAAAAGATGCACACAACAGATTCATTCATTCATTCACTCTCTCTCTCTCTCTCTCCCTGCTTTCTTCCATGTGAAGACATATAGAGAAGACAACCATCTGTAACCCAGGGAAAGGGTTCTCCCCAGGAACTGAATTGACCAGCACCTTGACCTTGGACTTCCCAGCTCCCATAATTGGGAGAAACAAATGTGTGTTGTTTAAGCCACCTAGCGTATGGTATTCTGTTACAGCAGCCTAAACTAAGACACTCACAAATGTTGTTTAATTATTATAGCAACTCCAATTTATAGATTAACTTCATTTTGTAGATGAGGAAACAGGTTCACGGAGATTCTTCTGGACCCATTGCTAGCCAGAAGTTTCTGGCTCCAAAGCCTGGGTGTGTTCTTTCTATTCAATTCTGTTAGCTACCTGAAGAATTTGTTTTTATAGTGTTAGGCTGCAATTTAAGTCCTATAGCTCAGTGTAAACACAATGTGAGATGTCTTCAAAAGCCTATAAGACACTTCAGAAGTGGCAGGGATATCTGAACAATGCCATATTATAATTTATTCTTCTCAGTTTATTACATCAGAGTCCAAATGTATAGCGTTTTGTTAGCATACTTTAAATTAACAGTAATAATAGTCATAATTAGCTTTTCCTGAGCACTTACTATGTGCCAGGCACTATGCTAACTACTGTATATGTGTGAACTCAGTAACCCTATGAGATAGACACCCTGAAAAGGAAGTTAAAGGAACTTAAGACCACAGGGGGCTTTGGAGTCTCACAGATGAAGTTTGACTCTCTAATCATGCCCCATGGCTGTGAGCAAGTCACCTAACATTTCAGAGCCTCAGTTTTCTCATTTGTGGGATGAATGAGCAGATGACAATACTTATATCAGGGGCATAGTCTGGTGCCTGGAACAGCACAAGTGCTCCATACATTTTAGCAACTGTTATTGTTGTGATTATTGTTGCTGACAACTAGCTGATAAGGGAACCATTGAGAAAAATAATTTGTTGAAAGTCAAATGGCTAATAACAGGCAGGGCTGAGATTTGAATCCAGGTTTGCAGGATTCCAGATCTTTCCTTGGGATACCAAGATGCATCTATCCGTCAAACCAATATTGTTCAAGCACATTAAAAAAGATTTTTCAAATTCAAAGAAGACTTCTCCCCCAGAATGGGTGAGTCTGACTACATTAGAGGTCCAAGGTGGTTCCTACTTGGCAGTAACTAGTGGTAAAGCACGTGGGCAGAAAAGGCAAGGGAGAAACGTGTCTCCTCCAGAGCAACATGAACAAGGTGACCTTTACAGAAGGATCCAAGAGGGAGCAGTGAGAGAGAAAGAGAGAGAGAAGGTTTGGGGCGGGGGTGGGGTGGGGTGGAGTGGAGGTGGACAGAGGGAGGAAGAGAAAGGAAGAAAGAGAAGGAAGGACAGAGAGAGGAAGAGGGAGACAGTGAAAGGAGAGAGAAGCGGGGAGAGAGAGAAGAGACAGAAAGAGAATGGTGGTGCACGGGACAATGGCATCAAAGGAAGAGCTAAAAGAGGGGTGAGGAAGACAAATGAGACCACCAAGTGGGCAGACGTCAAAGGCTCCACCGAGGGAGGAGGGGGGAGGGGGGAGGACGTGGAGGCAGGGACCAGAGCTCTGAATGGCCCAGGCAAATGGGAAGGCAGGCGCCTGGGGGACCCACTGGAAATGCCCTGGGAAAGATGGGGAGGAACAAGATAGGGAAAGGAGAAAATATGAGAAACACATGACAGATACCCTAGGAAAGCACACAAACTGCCGAAAGACCATGATGGGAAGGAGCTAGCCCCAACTCTTCCTCATGGGCATCAATCCCATCAGGTCCGGGATTGGAGCCAGGTCTCCGGATTCCCAGCACAGAATTCTTTGCATTAGTGGCTGCACATGGACTTCCTAAAGACCAGGGTATAAATAAAGAGTCCCAGGTCCAGTCCAGCCCTTCTAAATCAGACTTTATGACAACAGTTCTTTTTTTTTTTTTTTTGTCTTGTCTTTTTTTTTTATTTTTTTTTTTAAGTAAGTTCCGTTCTCATCATGGAGCCCAACGTGGGGCTTGAATTCACGACCATGAGAACAAGACCTGAGCTGAGATCAAGAGTCAGACACCTTAACCAACTGAGCCACCCAGGCGCTCCAACAATTCTCTAGCACCTGTATTCCGCAGGTGATGTTTTCAAGTCTTGCACTACCTCTCTGAGATCTGGGGGATGAACAGCAAGAATAATTGAACAAACGAGGGGACAGGAGTGACAAGCTGCATGAAAGTCTCAGGAAGGCTGGGAGGTAGACTCCTCCCATGACCACCTTACACTTCTAGAGCAGTGCTGTCCAACAGAAATAGAATGAGAGCCACATATGGGATTTAAAATTTCCTAGATGATATTTTCTAAATTTTCTAGATATTTCTAGTTTCCTAAAACCTTCTAGATAGAAATTTTTTAATTTCTAAATTAAAATTCTGAATTTTGAATTACCCTAAAAAGAGGAAGAGAAACGGGGAATTAACTTTCATAATATATTTTACTGAACCCAATATCTTCAAACATTATCATTTGAACAAGTAATCAATATAAACATTATTGAGCTATTCTGCATTCTTTTTTTCTCATTAAGTCTTCAAAATCCGGCATGCATTTTACCCTTAAATGCACATCTGATTTCAGATTAGCTAATTTCAAGTGCTCATAGCCATGGGTGCTGTATGGTGCAAGGAAAACATGTCCATCACTACAGAGAGTTCTGTTGGACAGCACAGTCTAGACCAGGGTTTGGCAGCCTTTCAAAGTGGCAGGAAAATGTTTCAGTGTTTTTTCTTCTGACATGAAGGGGGTGGAGATCCACATTCTTATATTTTTCTAGAAAACACGGTTTCATTCAACAGGGAAGAGGGTGCTGACATTTCCAGCACCCTCAAAGGTTCCCTTGTGACTCCTCCCTATCAACACCGTGTCCCAGAACTGACCACTATTCTGACTTTTATCACTTTTGAACTTCCTATGACTAGAATCATATTATGTACCACTCTACTCAGTGTCCGTGAGATTCTGTTTTATAGGTCTGATAACATTCAGTGGATTTCCAGTGGGACCAGAAGAATCCCTCCCCCAATTTACGCTGATAAAAGCCCTGTCTGCTGTAGCACCATCTCCTTCCTCTTGTTCGGCAAGGCACTGAGGGAGGTCCTTCCATAAGGAAACAGAAAAGTAAATTTCTTGCCAAAGGTGGCCTGAGAAGTCACGGGTTTGCAATCAAGCAAAACAGGTGGGACCGAGGACTCTGGTCGTCATATCCCCCTTAGCAACATCTAGTGACCTGTGATGAAGGCAGAGACTCAGGACAACAATGTAGCACTGGGCCTGAGGGGACTTATTCTGGCTTCAAATTTCTAGGTAATGGCCTCCAGCCAATGGTACTCCACCTCAGTACCTGCCATCACAGTACCTGACATCACCTGTCTCCCTGTTCTTAACTGCTTCCGGATTTACTTTTCTGGGACCGGGGGCCTGAAACCCCCAAGAAACCAAGGAACCAGCCTTCCTCTCCCTTATCCCCCCGCTCTGATTTGTGCTATTTGGGGGAGCCATGTCTTTCCTTTGAGCCACAGGCTAGGACCATGGGGGATTAAAGTTGTGTTAGGGACCAAGCCACTTGATGGTGGCTCTCAGATGGAAATGAGCCTCAGAAGATCTGGCCATTGTTGCCTCCTCTTTCTCATGCCTGCGGAGCCTCAGAGGGCTTACCTGTGGCTTCCTGTCCCTCTCCTCCGGGGACGGGTCTGTTTCTCTGTATACGACAGCTTTGGTTACCAGCATGTCAGGATGCTGCAGTTTGGCCTCCTTGATGGCCAAAGCCAGGGCCTGGGCAAAAAGAGCAACAAAGTGAGGAACCATAGGATACTGAATATGGGAGAGAGAGACCTTGGAGACCAACAAACCCCTTAGTGTACAGTCATGGAAACTGAGGCCTAAGGAGGGGCAGTGATCAAATAGTTAGAGACCAGAGTTCGGGTCTTCTAGCTCCTTCTGGCCCCCATTCAACATCCCTTCCATTAGGGTGTCTTCTCTGAATAGGGGCAGCATGAAGTGGACATCACCTCTGCACACAAGCTCATGGGTAACCCCATACGGGAGGGACTGGGGGATGGGCAGGGCCACCAGGAACAATATCCCCCACCCCCATACCTGGTCTTGATCAACATCTTCGTCCCCAGTGATGATGATTCGCTTCTCGATCCTCGTCTCAGAAAACCCCCCCTTCACAGTCTGCAGAGAGGGAGAGGGCAGCAAGGTCAGCCCTGGGGCCCGCTGGGCAAGACAGGGGGCCCATCCAAGGCATCCCTCAAGGGCAAGGCTGGAACCAGCAGTCACCTTCTCTCCTGGCTCCCTCTTCTGGTTTTGGGACTTTAGGCTGCACATCTTGCCCCCCATCACCATACTCCCCCAACTACCAAACTGCCCTCTCTAGGTCTTCCAAGCCCAGCTCAAGGGCTGTCTCCCTGATGCTGTTTGGTAACCTGCCACCCTCCCGCCTTGGTAGGAGCACCGAGTCTATATCTCTCTCGTGGTTCTGGGGCTCTCTACCTTGGGCTGACCTTGTGTGTGTGACCCAACCCGGCTCACTAGCCTGAAGCTCTTGAGGGCAGGGGCTGTACTTTGTTCAATTCTATATCCCCTCCTCCCCCACTCCCCTATCCAATCTGACCAGGGCAGGTGCTAAATGCAGACTGGTTGAATGAACACATGAATGAAATGTGAATGGTGACAAGGCTCTATCTTGAATGACTTCAAACAATACTACAAGAGAAAACTGTGTGGGTGATACTTATAACCTCCACTGTTTCCTGAAAGGGTGGGGTTTGGGTGCAAGTTTCGAGGTACAAGATGGGGAAGGACATAATTGCCTGGCATATTAAAAAGGGTGGTAGCTGAGGGAAATTCCAGCAGGAGCCAGGAGTGGACAGAAAGAAGGGGGCCCCTAGCTGGCAGGGCCAGGAGAAACTTGGGAAAGAAGGGTTTTCTGAGCAGTCTGCAGTGCGGTGGGTGATGGAAAACCTTCCCACAAAACTTTCAGGGAAAGTCAACATCGCTCACAAATGCTTTCAGTGAGCGTGGGTACTTTCTGGGGAACATGCAGAGGGGCTGAGTCCTTCCTGCACAGGAGCGAGCAGGGCTGGGACAGTGTGTGTGCCGGAGGGCCAGTGTGACCACCAGACTTCTCCTTTGGATGGCTCAGCAGAACGTCCACCTCAACCTGGCTCCCCGGCCTCTCTTCTCCAGGCCTCCAGCTCTAGCGTGGGCCCCCTCCCGCCTTCCTCCAGGCCACTTGGACATGGATATGCTGGCCTGCCTGTCTTCAGCCTCAGCTCACTGGCTGAGTCACATCTGACTCCCTCCTGTGGCTCTTGCCTCTTCCTTCCCCCATTGTAACTCAGACCGGGTCCAGGCTCCCCATCCCTAGTCTCTCCATGCCTCTCTCTCTTCTCTCCCCCACCTATCTACACATCCTGCTAATCCTCCTAAACCCCTTTGCACTGGGTCACTCCCCAGTTAAAAAACCTTGACAGTGTTCCGATGGCTCTTAGCCTCAGACCCTTCATAGTCACATTTGTCCTGGGATTCGTCTCATTTGTGTCCATTGTGCTTCACCTGCCTCCAGTCCACCCCAGTTCCCCACAGCGATGCCCCTTGCATGCTACTTCTCCCTGACAGAGACCACTTCGCTGTTCCCACAGACAGGCACCACTTGCACCCTAGCACAGAGGCTGGCCTAAGGCTGATGCTCACAACATCCGCTCAGTAAATAAATAAGCAAATATACAGTCTCTGTTCCCATTTTCTGCATTGTTTAGAATGTCTGCATCTGTCTTCTCCTCCCTCACAAGTCCTACCTGGCTTTCTAAGACCCTGCACAAACCCCACTCTTTCCAGAAGACCCCTCCTCACTCTTTGAGGCTCCCTTACATCACCCTTCTAAATCCTGCCAGCACTTAAGGTCTATAAGATGCAAATGCCATAGCTCAGAATTACTTCCAATGAGATGGTCTTGCCCCCCTCACCCAGCCTGGCTGTCGATGTTGAAGGGCAGGATCTGTGCCTAGGACAACCTGTAGTATAGAACAAAGCACATAGCATTCCAGAAACTAGGAACACCACAGGTCTTCTCTGTCCACATTACAAGGCACAGTGATGGCAATGACCTTCTTCAGCCCCACAGCCAGGCCGGAGGCATATGGCGCCCTGCTGCTACTCACTTTGGTAACATGGGTGGTGGTGGAGGTGGAGAGGGTTTCCGCGGTGGCGCCGTAGGTGCTGGTGAGGACATCTTTCCCGATGATCTGCAGAATATAACCACCCCCCACCCCAGGGTTCAGGTAAGGACACTGGGCTCTACAGGGTGGGGGCAATGGGGCGGGGATAAACCAAGGCGGCCCACAAAGGTAAAGCTTGGAAGCCAAGATGCTTCAAACCACTGACAGAATTCAGGAATACTAGAATCTTCAGAATGCTAGATCCATGAAACTCTCAAACCGTTGAATCACAGATTCCTAGAACCTGAGATTCCTGAGGCCCAGAATCCTAACAAGACCCCAGAATTCAAGAATCCTGGTATCTTAGAAGAATGAACAGGGCATCTAGGCTGGAGACCAAGCCCTCCCAAGTTTCCACCCTGTCACAGCCAGGAACATGCAGTCTCGGGGGCTAGACAACGAGAAGGACAGACTTGAGAATGCAGGAGATGCGAGAGACCTCATGGTGACAGACTTAGGCTCATGGGAGCCACTAGCAGCAACATCCAAGGGTGCAAGCCTCTGCACTCCTCGTCCCTCTTTCCCCTGGCCCGTAAGGAGAGCAGATGCAAATAAGCTGTCACATCACTGGGAGCCACCAAGGAGAGGAGCTACTTCACCCTCACACTGCAGTGCCCTCTAGTGTGTGTATGTGGGGGGTGGAAGCAACGGATGAGACTCCAGTGGGTACAAGGGAGCCCTGTGGGCACCTGAGAAGGAGCCAGTTTCCTGGCACTGTACTTAAGAGGGCAGCCTTCTGGGCTCTACGCTGCACTTGCTATGGACCACCTGGGGACCTGTGTCCACATTCTCAGCACAGAGTCCCCTAGCCTGAGCTGGCCCTACCCACTTACCGGAGAAAGAGAACGGATTTCCGTGGCCACCGTCTGTGGGCCTGGGATCATGGCAGCTGCCCCCTTCCCGGACTTGAGACTGTTCTCCTGGGGAAACAATAGTGCTCAGATGGCCAGATCTCACGTGGGTGGGCCCCCAGGATGGCCAGAGTACGTAGCCATGTAGCTCTCATGGCCACGAGGTTGAGGAGTGACATTGGTCATGCATTCACATGTTTGCACATGGGCTTGCTCTCACACGCACTCACTCACTCACACACTTACACACTTGCTCACCTACACGCCTATTCAACATTTAGAGTGCCTGGGGTTAGGGACATTGGTGAACGAGACACGGCATTGCTCTCGGGAGGCACTGACAAAGGAGCGGAGACATTCAGGTTCTCGTTCTGGCCCTGCTGTGTTCCAGCCACATGGACTGGGGCAGAGCCACTTCCGCTCTATGAGCCTCATGGATTTACCTATAAAATGGGAGCCCTGCAATGCAAGTTCATCAATGGTAACAAATGTCTCACTCTGGTAGGGAATGTTGATAATGGGGGAGGCTATGCGTGTGTGAGGGCAAGGGGTATATGGGAAATCTTTGTATATGTTCCTAATCATGGGCATGTGGGGCGCCTTCCTCTCAACTTTGCTGTGAAACTGCTTTAATACATAAATTGCTCTTGAAACTGCTCTGAAAATATTAAGTCTTAAAGTTATTTTTCTAAAAAGACATCCCTGCCCAACTCCCACAGAGACATTATGAGGGTAGCTGAGGAGAAAGGGCTTTGCAAATGCCAGTCTTAGGATACAGGCATACAGGCTGGCTACTAATAACATAATGATAATTACTGTTTTCTGAGTACTTGTATGTGCTGGGTATTATGCTAAGGATGCACTATCTCATTTAATCCCCAGAACAACCTCAGGAAATTATTTTAATCCCACTTTACAGTTGAGAAACTGGAAGGCCAGAGAACGTCAATGTTCAAGTCCACCAGCAAGTTAGTTAGAGAGGCTGGATTTAGACCCATGTTTGTCAGCAGACCCATCATCATCGACAATGCTACTCTGCCCTTGGAACTGTTACCCTGGGGCAGCTCTCCTGGTCCTACGGTGGATTTTAACTGCTAGACACTCCTGGATTGGCTGGATGTACTGCCCCATGTCTGGCAGGGGGCCCAGCCACCTGCCTCTACCCCCCACTTTCTGCACCATCTCGGGCTCAGTCCTCTCTGTCCAGTGGCCCAGAGCTGTCTGTTCTGCAGCTGCCCGGCAGGCCGAACCCTGGCCCTGGTCTGTGGACTGTACTGGATCTGGATCTCTGCCTGCCAGGGGACAGGTGAGGACTGAGGCCATCTGCCTTTGCCCCACCTTCCCCCCCCCCCCCCCCCCCAACCGCCCATGGCTACCTCTAGCTGAGGCAGTGGCCTGGTTGCCTGGCACTCCACCAATGAGTAACCTTTTCAGATGGAGTCTCCGGGATGTGGCCCAGCAGTAGGCCTTTAAAGGGCCACTTTGCCAACAGACATGAAAAGATGCTCAGCATCACTAATCATCAAATGCAAATCAAAACCACAATGAGATACCACCTTCCACCTGTCAGAAAGGCTAGCATCAAATAGACAAGAAATAACAAGTGTTGGCAAGAATGTGGAGGAAAGGGAATCTTTGTGCTCTATTGGTGGGAATGTAAGTTGGTGCAGGCAAAAGAATGGAAATTCCTCAAAAAAATTAAAAATAGAAATACCATATGATCCAGTGATTCCACTACTGGGTATTTACCCAAAGAAGACAAACACATTAATTGAAAAGACGTGCACCCCTGCATTTACAGAAGTATTATTTATAATAATACAAGCTATGGAAGCAGCCCAAGTCCATCAATAGATGAATGGATCAGAAAGATGTGGGGGGGGGGGGTGTGTGTGCGCGCGCACGCGTGTGTGTAATGAAATGTTACTCCACCATAAAAAAGAATGAGATCTTAACAATTTTCAACAACCTAAATGGACCTGCTGGGTATAATGCTAAATGAAATAAGTCAGACAAAGACAAATACCATATGATTTCATTTATATGTGGAATCTAAAACACAAAACAAACAAACCGGAGAAAAAAAGCAGAAACAGATCCATAAATACAGAGAACTGGCAGTTGCCAGAGGGGAGGGGGGAGAGGGGTGGGCAACCAGGGGTGAAGGGGAATGGGAGGTACAGGCTTCCAGTTATGGAGAGAAGAGGTCACGGGATAAAAGCATAGAGAACAGAGTCAGCAGTATTGTGATAGCGCTACACAGTGGCAGATGTTGGCTATACTTACGGTGAGTGTAACATAACGTATAGACTTGTCAAATTGCTATGTTGTACACCTGAAACTATTGTAACATTGTGTGTTAACTATACTTCAATTTAAAAAAGGGTGGGGGCAGCCTTCTGGGCTCAATGCTTCTTTTCCACCCACCAGCTTAGGAAACAGTCACTAGCCTCTTTGAATCCTACTGTCACTCCAAGAAATTCTCCCCTAAAGCCTCTTCTTTTCTCACTGCTCCCTCTTTCGCAGACAAAGCCTCATCTCCACCACATACATTGAAAATAGAGGCCGCTAATGGGGACACAGGTCGTTCAAAACAAGGCACCATCTGCTCTGTCTCTCCTGTATCTTCAGCCAGTGTTCTCTCCTGCCTCAAAGAGGTACAGCTCCTCTCCCTGGCCAGGGCAATGCCACCATCTTGGTTCTGGACACTTCCTCCCTCACACTGAGGCTTCTCCTCCTCACCACCCTGTCTGCGCTGCCTTAGCCACTCAAAGCCTTCTCTCAAGGCCACTGCTTCGTATCCCTTTATCTATAGCCCAGATCTTTCTTGAAACCTAGACCTTTAAAACCAATTGTTTCCTAGACATTTTCGCCTGGAAATGTCCCACAGGTTCCTAGGACTCATCAGATCCAACCCCAAATTCACTGCTTCCTCACCCAACATATGCCTACCACCAAAAAGCAATCCCCTCAAGTGCTCGCTGTTTACATCAGTGCTTCTCAGACTCGTGGGGGGTGTCACAGACTGCTGTGCCCTGTCCCAAGGTTTCTGAGTCAATAGGTCTGGGGTGGGGTCCAAAGATTTGCCTTTCTAAAGGTTCCCAGGACTGCTCTTCAAGAATGGCTAGGTTAGGGGTGTCTGGGTGGCTCAGTTGGTTAAGCATCCGACTCTTGGTTTTGGCTCAGGTCATGATCTCACCATACATGAGTTCAAGCCCCACATCGGGGCCAATGCTGACAGTGTGGAGTCTGCTTAGGATTCTCTCTCTCTCTCTCTCTCTCTCCCTCTTTTCCTCTCTTTCTGCCCCTCTCCTGCTTGTGTGTGCTCTCTCTCAAAATAAATAAACATTGGGGGGAAAAAAGAATGGCTGGATTAGTGTGCAAAGTCACCAGCCCATCTTTCCTCTGTCACCTGAACATTCTGTCAATGACCTTCCTCCCTCCAGTTATCCCTTAACCCCACTCCCCTTCTCGACATCCACCTCATTGCACACCAGCCCTGCCCCAGTCCCCAAACTAGCTCTCTGCCTTCTCTTTCGGTCTCTCCCAATTGCATGTGGGCTTGGGACGCTGTCTGTCTCCCTCAGTGCTAGATCCACAGTGCCTGGCACAGTGCATCACATAGCATGGGTGCTCAACAAATATTTGCCAAAGAAAGGAAGGAGAAAGGGAGGACAGAAGGGAATTTTTTTCTCGAGTGATGTTCCACATGGTTGCTAGAGTAATCTTTCTAAAACACAGAGAAACATAGAATTGACTGACATCATGTCCCTACTTCAAAAGTTGGGAGTGATGCCCCACTGTCTCCAGGATGAAGTCTGAACTTCTTATGTAACATCTGAGGCCCTTCAAGCCCTGGCCCAACTTTTCCAACCTCTTCCCCCTCACCTCTACTCCTTTTCCAAGCACCTGACATTTTGCTTTACTGACCACCTGCCTTCACCCAAATGCGATGCTCCTTCCCAGCCTTGTCTTTGCAGATGCTACTCCCACTGCCTTAGAATGCCGTCTGCTGTGGCTGTCCCTTCACTTATCCTTTAAGTATAGCTCAAATGTCAATGCCTAGGTAAAGCCTTCTCACTCTTCCTGGAAGGGGTATCATCCCCCTCTTCTCCTCCCTGTGCCTCCTAGGAATGCATTATTACACTGTTCCATGAAGGCAGGGGGAAATAACAGCATAAATACGTAAATATCAACATATTTACAGACCCCTTCCCAGGTGTCAGGCAAGCCTCTGCACAGATTACCTTGGTCCATCCTCAGGTCAACTCTTTGAGGGATGTGCTATTATTGGCCCTGTCACCCCATTTTACAGAAGTGGAAACTGAGGCCTGGAGAGGCTCAGGTAACTTGCTCAGGGTCATCCTGCCAGGAAGTGGGAGAGCTGGGCCTTGTTCATCACTGTGTGCCAAGGACCTCAACAATTATATGCGCCCATGATCATTATCTGAACAAATCACTTCTAGCAGGGAGTATATTTTCTTCAACTCTATAATCCATATCAGGCAGACAATAGAGACTAATAAATGTTTTGGGGACAAATGAATGGATGGATGGGTGGGTAAATGAACAATGTAGCTCCCTACTCACTCTGGTATGAACTTAAAGTTAGCCCTATCAGCATCCCAATGCCACATGGATAGGACTGAGGGGGAGAAGGAACTGAGTGACCAGGAAAGAGGGTGCGAGCTGGTAACTGGTTGGGATTTATTTGTCTTTGCTCAAAACCTACCTGCTGGGTAATTAAAATGCAATTCTCTTCCTACGTGTATATTGGGGGGTTGGCAAGAGAAAGCATTTGAAAACAACTCTCCACTGGCTCACAACAGATCCAGCCCAGACATCATCAGTGACAGCCCCAGCCCCGGCCACAGCCCCAGCAGCCAGGGTTCACAATAGTTGGGATGAGGGTGCATAGGGGGTAAGGTGTATAGTGAGGCTTCTGGGGTCAGAATGCCTGGGTTTGACCTGGCTCTGCCACTTTCTGGGTGTGTGACCTTAGGAAGTCACTTAACCTCTCTGTACTTCAGATTCCTCATCTGTAAAATGTGGGGGGAAAAGAGAATCCCCTTTAGTTTTTGTAAGCACTCAGTGAAATCACCCATTCATGGTTCTTGGCACTTTGCATGGCAACGCAGCCTGGGTGCCTAATGCTATCTGGTCTGTGTCATCGTGAAACAATATGATGTTATTGGACTCTCTTAAGAACCTGCAAACAAGGCAGAATGGGGATTATTCCCACTTTACAGATGAAGACACCTGGGGCCAAGGACCTTCCTTCACAGGTCAGACCGCAAATAGGTAGCAGAACCACTCCTGAGCTTCCAATTTATGTTCACTGCACGCCATCTACTGACCAAGGTAAGGAAGTGGCCCAAGACAGGAGAAAATGCACAGCTGCCAGGAGCTAGCTGTCAGGGATCCTCGTGTGTTGTCAATAATCAAATAATCAAACGGTACCATCCTCCCTTTACCCCTGCCCTGACTGAGATGGTGTAGATAACTGAGGCTCAGGCAGTCCACCTCCCACATTATTCAATTTGGAAAACTGAATGTCCTCTGGTAATGATGGTCCCAGATTCTATGTCCCATGCCTGATGCAGTGAGGGCAGATGAGGACTTCCCTGGACAGCCAAGGCTATGATATCATTATCCGGCTGTTTTAGCAGAAGGGGTCTGGTCAGAGAGGGAGGTCTCTTAAGTCCTACTTACCATGGTGGTTGATATGGTCTCCGTGGTGATGGAGGGAGCAGTTGTTATGGACTCCTTTCCCCCTAGGGCAGTCCCATCAACCTGCTGGCCAGAGGAGTCATGAGAGGGAGAGGGAGAGAGAGAGAGAGCACACCGGATGCACCTGCAGTATCTATTACTTGGGTGGGCAGCATTCCCAGTTACAGAGGGATGGGCTGTGTGAGTGAATGTGAACCACTGGGGAGGGGAGTCTGTCTACACAGAGACTGAATCACAGGAGCAGGGAGTGCTCACAAGTCCTCCTGATTGTTTGAACCAGCTTATTTGACAAAGGGCAAATAATCCCAGATAACCTGACAAACCCTAGGCAAATTCTAATGCATGTATTCTTTAATTCCATTGCCGGGAGTTCATCCTTTGCATGTAAACTTTGAAAACTTTGCCAGGAAGTAGGACAAAAAAGGGGCGCCTGGGTGGCTTAGTCAGTTCAGCGTCCGACTTTCGCTTAGCTCATGATCTCACGGTTCGTGGGTTCGAGCCCCGCATCGGGCTCTGTGCTGACTGCCAGCTCAGAGCCTGGAGCCTGTTTCAGTCTGTGACTCCCTCTCTCTCTGACCCTCCCCTGCTCACGCTGTCTCTCTCTCTCTCCTAGAAATAAATAAAACATTAAAAAAAAAAAAAAGAAGTAGGACAAAAAAAGCTCACTGAAGCATTCATCATTAACTGCCAAGGACACAAACAGCCACATGTCCACTGAAGGAAGACTGCAGGATAAGTCAGGACTCACTCCCAAGTGGGACTAAGAAGAGCAAGGTGGACCTACCTATGGCAATGAGGAGTAATATCCAAGACAGTTATCAAGAAAACAAAGGTCAGGTATAAAAGAGCATCTCTTTTGTGTAAAATTCTAAAATATCTAGAAATGTAAGTGTGTATACCGGAATATGCATACTTTTTTCCTGGGAAGAATCACAAGAAAAATTTCAATTTGTTCTGTTTGAATTTCATAACTGAACATTTTGCTGTTGTTTTTTAATGTTTATTCAGTTTTGAGAGACAGAGAGACAGAGCGTGAATGGGGGAGGAGCAGACAGAGAGCGAGACATAGAATCCAAAGCAGGCTCCCAGCTCTGAGCTGTCAGCACAGAGGCCAATGAGGAGCTTGAACCCACGAACTGTGAGATCATGACCTGAGCTGAAGTTGGACACTTAACTGACTGAGCCACCCAGGCACCCCGTGCTGTTGTTTTGATGTCAATAAGGATTACTGGGTTGTTGAATTTGGGGACTTTTTTAGTTTTCTTTACATTTCTCTATATGAAAGCAAAATAAAACATGTGTTACTGAAACAAAATAGGCCAGAGAGGGAACACAAGTGCTTGCGATCACACAGCTCATCAGAACTTGAGCATCTTGACCACCGCGCTGGCTACCGGGTAGACCATATAAAAGAGGGAAGAAAAAAATTCTGGAAATGACAGAGGTGCCCACATTGTGTTGGTTTACACCTTACTTTAGTTCTTGAAACACAAATCAGTCCCCATCCCCCCACACTGTAGCCCCTCTGGCCACAAGGAACCAAGGGTGTCTATCAGACCTACAATCTCAAGGTTTAGAGTTTAAAACCACAAAAGAAACTTAGGAACTGTAACATGTACCTGTACACCTGCAGCTCACCTGCGTCTATTTAGGACCACTTTCTTCAGGGGACCAAGTATGTTTCATCTTGCAAAGACAAATGATTTTCTACCGTTTTCTCACTTTGTTCATATGGCCAATCTGATGTGGAGCCCCCATACGTTAAAAGATGACTCAATGTGAATCGTTCTGACAAAAGCTGGATTGGTATGTCTCCCTCTTCTCTCCCAAAGCAGTCCCTGGGATTCCTCAAGAAACCTCTCGAACCCCTTCAAGTAATCTGAAAGCTACAGTCTAGTCCACTAGCCACTAGCCCTTACAGCACTCCCATAAGGACAGGGGAGAGATGGGAAATTGAGGCTTTTAAGAGGCGTGGTCTGCCAAGGACAGGAAATCATTCCACTGCCCACTCCTAGAGCTCAGGGAGGACTATGAAGCTTAAAAGAGCATCAGGGTTAAAATGAGGGCTCTGGGGAAACAAGGTGGCAAGGGCTGGCCAAGGGGCTTGGCTTTGGTGGGGACCCCACCCTTAAATGTCTAATGCTTATGATCAGGTGCAATGGAAGGTGCAGGTTACCTGGGTGCTGTCCACATTGGTGACTCTGGTCTGCAGTACAGCCTCTGGCTCAATCTTCTTTCTGATGGCCAGGCTGCTGACAGTCATGGTTTCTGTTTTCACAGGCTGCAGGGAGAAGAGAGAGAACACTTCATAACCCAAGCCCCTGCATGGCTCCTGCTCACAGCCAAATGCAGCGTAGCCCCCATCCCTGCAGCTGGGCAAGTCTCTGGAAGGTCAGGGCAAAGAGGCAAAGTGAGAGGTCATAGACAAACAGCCCAAGGGGAGAACCAGATCCATCAGCAGTACCCAGACAGGCCTGCTCATGGCCCTGTAACCACATAACCTCATGGTGGCCATAAACTGTTTTCTAGGCTACCATCAGAAGAACATCTACTATTCAATTAACATGCTCTGTGCCAGGCCCCACACTAAGTATTCTCCTTGTATACATGTCACTGAATCCTGAAAATCATTCAGGATTATGCCACCACCTCCCAGCTGCTTCTTTTGAACTGTTCTTGAGAGCAGGAGCCACACAACCGGATGCCTACGGAGGCCAGGCAGAAGATGGAAATGGGTGCAGTGGGCTTACTGAGGACTGGGGTGAGCTGGAGAACACACAGGGACCAACTGTGGCCATGACCTCTGAGTGACTGGATCATCCGACTTTTATTTTATGATATTTTAAAAAAACAAACTGTGGATTTTATATTCAACATCCTGATTCTGAAATCAAGGTCAAAGAAAAGACATCTGCTAGCCAGATCTGGCCTGGGGCCACCAGTTTTCAACCTCCACTCTAAAAGGCTTCAGTTAATCAGTTCTTCAGAGTCCTCCATGAAGGCTAGTACATGTGACTATTAGCATATTAACATATGCGAGCTGCATGAATGAATGAAATGGCATGTCATCTGGCTGGGAAGGAAGGAAAGGGATTCTCACAGATTACTGTCACCCTGAGATCTAGCCATTTATCCAGTTAATCATCTATCAGTGCCTGCCATGTGCAGGCTTACAGGAGCTGCCACCCCATAGGAGAGCAGATCTGGCAGCCACTAACCTGACTGTCTGGGACAATGCCGGGAGCAGAAACATGACAGAGCAAGGGGGCTGCAGAGGGATCAACACTTCTGCCCAGGGTGGTTAGGAAAGCATTTGCTAGGGAAGTGATATCTGAACTTGATCCTGGAATGTGACGAGTTTGCAAGGCAGAGAAAGGGAAGGGAAAACCTTCTACCCAGAGGGTACACCATGGAGTGAAAGCCCAGAGTAGATGAGCTCCTATTTTAATGCCCGGAACACGGGGGAGAGGAGAGTGTGGTAGGAGGTAGGCTGGGACTGCAAGAGACAAGGGGGCAGAGGAATCACGTGACAAAGATCCTCTGAAGGAAGGACACAAAGCAGAGAGAACCAGACCTAGTCTATCCCCATGTCCCTTTCAGTGACGACGTTTCCTCTTCTCTACGAGTTTCCACTGCTACCCCAAGATCCCAGGGCCAGATGGGTTTAAACTGCTGCCCCTTCCCCAGGAAGACCAGGCCCCAGGGAGAGGAGCCTGGGCCAGGATCAGGAAAAGCCATCAACTTCCAAACCAGGCTGCAGGAGCCCCGCAGGTCCGCAAGCCCATGCTCCCTGTGGGTGCCATGCAACACAAGGCAGGGAGAGGAGGAGTCGAGTAAGACCAGACTGTCTGGCATCGCTTGACCTCAGGCAAGCAATGAGGTCACAGGGTTAAAACGCCAAGGAGTGAATGTTAGGGGTAAACCAAGACGGCAAACATGCGAGCACAGAACCATGCTGTTCTGCGGAGGGGCAGTCATGCAACACGAGACAGAGCTTCAGGCTGAGGGGCTCTGGGCTGCAGGCTGGTGGCTCAGTCTTCTCACAGATGGCCCGGGGCCCTCTGAACATGCAGTGCCCGCCAGGCCCAGGTCTCCAGGATGCTCCACTGTACCTCAAACTGGGGCATATCTGGGGTGGCACAGGCCCCTCGATCTGGGCTATCCTCGATGCCCCCAGGCTCGTCCTCCTGGCTGGGGCCCCGCTTGCTGAGATCCCGGGAGAATACCAGGCCCTCGGTTTCGGAGTCGCTTTTGTCTCTGTCAAGCTCAGGCAGGCTGCGGGAGAAGTCTTCGAAGGCGCTGCCGTGGTAGTCGCCAATGACCGTGAAGTCAACCTCAGCTTCCAGGCTGGACGTGGAGCTGACTGTGATGCTGGAGCACTTACGCTCAATGGCCAGGTGGTTGTCTTTCAGGAACACCGCGTCCCTCTCCTGGTCCTGGTCCTCGTCTCCTGTGTCACTCTCTGGGGCCCTGGGACGAGGCGGTTTGACCTTCTCCTCTGAGCCCTCCCTTAGCCCTGCTCTCTATGGCCAGATAAAAATCAAAGGAACAGGGGTATGGGATGGGAAGAAAGAGAGAGAGAAATCAAGAAGGTGAATGACAGAAGAAACCCTGGGGCCGTTTCAATGTCTCAAATGGAAGAGCAGGTCAGGAAATGAAAAACACTCCCAGAAAGGTTCCTTGGCATGACAACAAGCTTTAAAAAACCACAAAGTTCTCAAGAGTGGGGAACACTCCTTTCCGAGGGTCTCCCGCTGATGGCCAAAGCAAGTACAAAGCAAACGTCCTGCCAGTTTGTTCTGGACAGGAAGCCCCATCCAGGGTCTGGATCTGGGAGCTTATCAGAAGCGGCATTGTGAGCAAGGCAGGGATGGGAGCCTGGACCCAGGCCCATCCGTGCAGGTGGGTATCAAGAGACAGAAACCAAGGAGGGAGACCCAGGGATTTTGGGAAACCCGGGACGGGGAGGCGGGGAGGCTGGAGCCAAGAGCTTTGAGAAACAAAGAGGAAGCCAACATGGTTTGTCAATTCCACTGAGTCTCTGTGGGAGGGGCCAGTATCATCTAGGGGGCGGAGTCACAGGGAGTAATTCCTGGGAGCTGGGTGCTACATCAGTTCAACCCTGAGCTCCGTGAGGGGCCGGGGGGGCAGGCCATGGAGTGGAGGTTCTAGTCCCATCAGTGTAATTGACAACAGCAGGCCAAGGAAACGCTGGAGGCGAACCAGCAACTCTTGTCCCACATACATACCTCTCAACTGGCCTGTCAGGGATTAAACACCACATGCAGTTTTTGGCTGTTTCATGACGTTCTTTTTAAAACCCAATCTAACACCCACCAAATGTTTTTTAAAGTAGTTGGCTTCAGGTTCTAGAGACTCAGTACACTTAGAGATTCACTTGCTAAACTTAACTTCCATTTTAGTTTCTGGAAGGTTGAGAGGTGTGAGGACACATTCCAGACAAGCGAGAGTTGAGCTGCCGCAAGAGGCACTGCCCGAGCAGGTGGGAACCTAAGGCAGCGATGCACCCCGGCCAGGCGAAGATGACTGGGTCATCAGGGCACCAAGGGGCTGTAGAGACCTGAGGGCCCGAGGAGCTGGTGAATCTCAGGTGCCCCCCTTTTCCAGGGGGGTTTGCTGCTAAGCTGGTGATGTGCTTCTCTTCCCTGACTGCAACTCCGGATTTGTTCTGGATTAGAGAAGATAGTTAGTCTTAAGGAGGCAGAAGGGAACTTGGCAGTGGGACCAAGAGGAAACCAGAAGCAAAGGATGGAAACCTCTGGACTGTAGGCTTCCCCAAGGCAGGAGAGCCAGGGAAGGGAAAGGGAGAAGGAAGATCGTTGGACAAGCCAAGCAAAACAGGTAGGAGCCCAGCAGGTGGGGGCAGCAAGGCAAAGCAAGTGTGTAGTTTGCTGGTGGTGCCAACCTTCTCCACTGGGGCTGTGTGACCCCATGGGCACCAGGTCACACCAAAAGCCGAGGGTCTTTGTGGCTAAGCTAACACAGGCCAGCCAGATGAACCCATCATTCCACCTGGGCTACTCTTGGGCCAGTTTAGGGAAAAGAACTCATAGGAATGGACAAGCAGCCTCCGATCGCAGAAATGACGAGGGACCACTGAAACATGCTTCTACGGAGCTACGCAGCATGCGGTCTACTCCCCCAGCTGGGGGGCAGTGGTGGGGGCGGGGGCTCACGTGGCCAGTCCCCCAGTGGCTACCTCCAGCGCAGTTTCGCAGCCTGAATCAGGGGACTCGAGCTCGAGTTCTGTGCATCCTTCCTGGTGGGATGTGGTAGAAGTGCCCTCCCTGAAGTGTCTGGCAGCCAGTGACATCACTGAGGAATGGGTGGCTTTGGGGCCAGCAAGGTCTCCTGGGGGCTGGAGTTGGATGAAGCCCAGGTCCAAAAGCTTATTCCGCTGTTGCTCCACCTGACCCATGGAGGTCTCTGAGGACAACTCGTTTATTAGGGCCCTTGTTTCACCTTGACTTGCTCGGCGAGTTTCAGCTCCATGGGTCTCAAAGATCCGAATTTTGTTAGCCACTGAGGTCTTGCTAATATCTTCCAGGGAGCCCTCTTGGCCCCCAGCCTGGAAAGAGGTCATTTCCTTTTGCTTCTCTGAAGGGAACACCAACCCCAGAGGTGCAGCTCCCTTGGCTTCTTCAGAGACAACTCTGGGCTTTCTGCTGGCAACGGGAGGTGCCCTGCGCTCACCTCCGTCCAGGACTACAAACGGCCCTACACGGTCCTTGGGCTCCAGGCTCTCTTTAAAAGGATGGGTGTAGTTGGGAAAAGCAGGGGACTGTTCTCCAAAAGGATCCCAAAGGTGCGGAGGCTCCCCTGATCCACGAGGGGCTGAGCTTGGAGAAGTTTCCTCTGGAGCTGCCTGAGCCTGAAAGGGACCAGGGGAGGCCAGGAGGGGAGTGATCACCTCCATCTGAAGAAACGCTGAGGCCTTGCTATCCTCCATTGTAGGGTCTCCTGTTTGGATGTGAACCAGTCCCCTGTCTTGGGGCAGGAAGCTGCCTCGGTCTGGTTTGGTTGGCTTCCTGACATCATTAGGAGGGATGGCCCGCGGAACGACGCAGGCTGGGAGGTCTGGGCGCATGCCCCCTCCTCTGTGAGGTGAGTGGTTCTTCCATCCTGCTGGGGGATTTTCCTCAGCCTTTCCCATCAGATCTCCACTCTTGGGGGCCTCTTCCTCTGTGCCTAGGTTGGATGCTGGATGGCTAAATCCTCCTTCCACCCCCTGCCCAGCTTCTTCCCAGTCCTCAGCAAACGTCTGCCCTGGAGAAGGTCCCTTACCAAGCTGCTCAACAAAGACCTCTAGGCCATCTGGTCTTCCATGGCTCCTGGGGATCCCTGCCCCTTCCTCTAAGGAGGTTGTGTGGGCTTCACTCTCTTCATCCTTGTTCCTGCCAGAAGCTGCAACAGAGTCCTGTGGGCCTGAGGAGTTCAGCTCAGAGCTCTCTGGGAGCTTCTTTGGGAGCTCCATCCTGGTCTCATCAACAGGAAGGGCATCCAGAGGCGGAGGGGGGATTTGGTCTTCAGCATCTTTCTCTCCATAGTTTAAGTAGAAGCTCCTCTCTGCAAAGGAAGGTTCGGTTTCATCACTCGAGTCGGCTCTGGCTTCCGACTGGGCTGGGTCCAGTAGAAATGACTGGAGTCCTCCCTTGTCAGAGGCTGGAGAGGGGCTCTCGGCCTCTGCTGGCCTGGCCCCTGAGGCAGCGGCTCTTCCATAAGTCGGGATCTCCTCCAGCTCCTTCCTCAGCTCCATCTGGCCCTCCAGCTGGCCACCTGAGATCCAGTGCTTCTTGATGGTCGCCTCCCCACTGCCCACCCTCAACTGGGAGCCCTCAAGGAGGTTTTCTGCCAGTGTGTAGCCTGCAGCCAGCGAAGCCCCTCCAGGGCCTCCCCTGACCCAGGGGCCTTCCTCCCACACTGACTCGAAGTCTTCAGGGCTTGCGATCATCCTTCCTTGTTGCCGGGTCTTTGCTCTTCTGACTCCCACCATTTCTTCCGTGGCCACTTCAACTTTGAACTTGTCCACCAGGATGTCTACCTTGGAGAGTCTGCCATCAGCAAGGATATCAGCGAGGCCTGCCTTACTTTCTTCCTGCTGCGTGGTGGCCACTTTGAGGAGACTGAGTTCTTCTGGCCTAGTGTACTCTCTTTCTATAAATACCCAATGCTCTGAACCCTGTGTTTCAATTGGAGCAAGAAGAGTTAATATGAAATATAGGCACCTGAAGAACAGGTCACTGTTTCCTGTGCAAGAAGGGACCAATCTACCACCAAAAGGTTAACATGTCCCCAGAACTGGCTGGAGAGAGAAAGGCATGACAATACTAGTCAGCCTCATCAAGGCTACCATTCCCATCAAGGCACCCAGCAAATTGTTTACCAACTCCCCTCAACCATTACCCCAACTTGGTAAAATGGGATGGGGTCTCATGCCCTCCCCATGTTTAATTGTGGGACAATGGAGATCCACGGATGGGCCAGGACTCTTCCTCTTCCTTTTTTTAACAATATAATTGCCACTGTCAGAGGAGAAAGTAACTTACAACACATGGAATCTTTGAAGGTTAGAACAAAAAGAACTTCTAAGAAATCCTCTAGTCCAATTTTGTCATTGTGCAAATGGGTAGACTGAGGCCTAGAGAAGGTCAGGGACTTACCTAAGGTTACAGTTCATGGTAGAGTCAGGAAAAGAGTGCCTGATTTTTGATGCCTGAGATCCTTGCTGACTTATCCCACAACCTATAGAATATGGATCCCAACTGTGATCTAATGTCAAGAAAGCAGTGAATTAAGATTCATAGGCCACAGCCTAAAATCTGACTTTTCTGCAAGAGTTCTTGGGAAGGAAAAAGATCAAAATGAAAAATGCCAAATGCTCAGTTCAAGTCAGTGCCAGTCACCATGATGGCTTGAACAGCTTGAATTTTGTAGGGTTCATTCCCAGAGAAAAGAATACCAAAGCCTATTCTTGGAGAATTCTAAACCAAATCCACAGAAAGAGTAGAAAAGGGCTGACCAGAAGACATCATGGAAGGAAAACATCTAAAGACCCAAGTATCATCACCAGTCAAAAGCACCAACAAGAGGGTAGCACTGTCAAACTGTCAACAAAACAGCTTTCAACATCCTCCCTACAGTCCTTCAAACAATACTTAGGAGGGAATGATGGACTTCAGAATCATTAAAAAGCAAGAAGGCCTTGGAATTCTAATCTTGCAGCCAAAGATTACTTTCTTCACATAAAATTTCAATGGAAGTCCAATATGTAACCCGAATACAGGCTGCCATGTTGAAGTGGGGGGCCTCGGCTCCCAAGGTACCACCCTCCTTTGAAATCACTGCTCTGACTCGACCCTCTTATGGTACAGATGTAGAAACTGAGGTCTAGAAAAGGTAAGCACCATGTCCAAGGTCAGAGAGTGAGCCAAAGGCAGGCCTAGAATCCAGTCTCTGACTCCAAGTTCTGGGAAGTGCCGCCATGGTAATATGTGCCAGAGGCTGCTGCCAATGAAAGGGGAAAGATTTCTATAACTGGGCTCTGACTCAGGTTATGACCTGGTGAGGAGTCTGTCAGATCCCATAAGATCTGAAGGATTCTGAAAGATCAAGGAGCGCTGTAAACTCTTACCTAAACTCCCTCAATCCATGTTAGCAAAACCTCCATGGCTCTCAGGGAATGAAATTTCACTGAAAGAATCCTGCCAACAGCTAAGAGAGATAAGCGGAAGGTAGAAACCAGACATAAGTTACTTGGATTTTACTTCAGGTTGCTAAGTCTCAGAATAACACCATGTGAACCATCCCAGACAGAAGGGCTTCGAGTGCCTATGGAAGCCAGGTCTCTTTTCTCTTCTGCTGAGAAAACAGGCAACCTAAGTGGCCCCCATTTCAGCTTGTAGTGACATTATCAGCCTGGTAATGGTGGCCACAGATAGTCAACGAGACCCCTTCTGGAACATTCTTGCCCCAAGTCTGACTAAAAACTAGTTTCTAGAAATTAGAAGCTTAGAAGTTAGGCTGAGTGGGGTGAGAACTAGTGTATCATAGAAAGAAAAATTCTGCAGAAAGAAAAAAGGAAACACATACTTATATTTAGCTAATCTGTGCCAGGCAATGTCAGATTAAATTCAATCCAAATGGCAACCTGTAAAGCAGGTAATATTACTCTTATTTCAGAAGGGGAAACAGGTTGCTAGAGGGGAAGTGACGTACACAGATCACAGAGTGAGCACTGAGGGAAGAAGAGGCTCTGCTTTTAACAAGTGAAAATCCTGGAAAGAAAAATAGATTGAACCAAAGAGAGAAAACTTCACTGGCACCAAGACATTGGTGGGCCTGCCCCTGTCTGAAAGCTGTTCTGACCCTATTACACAAGCCCTGCACCCATCCTTTCCACGGAGCCAGGGGACCTTCAGTGCCTGTTCAGAGCGCCCCCTGCTATCAGCTGGAGGTACTGCAGCAAGGACGAAGCCTGAGAAGGAAGCGGATCCAGTTCTGTTCCCACCCAAGCCACCACAAGGAGAAAATCTCTGGCCAGGCAGTTCTGTGGTCTCTGGGCTGTTGAGTCCCCACCTGGGGCTTTGGGTCATATTCTGGGCCCTGCTCTTTACAGAAGACACTCAGAGGAGGGGATGCAGGACAAGGAGCCTTCTAGAAACCACAAACTGGGAGAAACCTTTGAAGAAAGGAGGAGTGTTCAGGGGGAGAAGAGGAGCTTAACTCTGAAGGACCATCCTGGCAGAGGATGCAGAGTAGATCTTCGGGCAGCAGGGGGCAGAGCGAGGCCCACAGACAGGTAATTCAGAAGGACAGATTTTTTTTATTTATTTATTTTTTTTACAAATAGTTTATTGTCAAATTAGTTTCTACATAACACTCAGTGCTCATCCCCAAAGTGCCCTCCTTCAGAAGGACAGATTTTAATTCAACACGAACACTTCTCAATAGATGACTGAAGACAAAATGGTCTGCTGTTAAGAACGGCAAGAGCCCCCCTCTGTGGAAGGGGCTGCAATGGGCAATTTGCAGGGATGCTGATGGAGGGCACGTGTTGCCCTACCACCCCTGCCCCCGAGTATGGGCATCTGTCCTTGGCTCTAGTAGCATCTCTGTGCTCCAGGGCATCGCTTTTCCCCTAACCTTGGGATGCTACAGACTCCTGTCCAACTTCTCTCGAGAGAGTGCTGATAAGTTGTTTTAGTTTCACATTGAGAAAAACTTCAGACAGGAACTGATTTCTGTTTTACCACGTATGTAGCTAACTCCTGTCTCTTTTACAGTTTCAGCACATTTTTCAGCAGCTAGAAAATTTTTCTCTGGGAATTGTAAAAGGGAGATGTCCTCATACCTACTATGCCAAAAGGGGAGGGTGAAATATCAGGGAGAAGGAAGTTCCACCCGGATGATCAGTCAGTACCTTCCAATCCTGATGGCCTATGAGCTCTTGGCACAGAGAAGATGCAGCGCCTACCCCCCACTCCCTGGGTCTGGATTCCATGCCTCATGGGACACAGAAGCCCTCCCCGTGCTGCCTTCCTGGGCACAGAAGTGATGCTCTCCTCATTACAATGCTTGCCTGGCCAACATCTCTTCAACCCGAAGGAATCTCCTTGGAGCCACATGCCCACTTTTGTCCACCTACTAAGAGTTTAGAGAAGATGAAGGCAGAGGATGAATGGGGGGCCATCCCTTAAACAGCCATTGTAGACCTTACTCAGGCTTCTGAACAGAGAAAAGACCTCAGGGCAGAAGGCATTTAGGTGCCGTGACCCCTGATCCCAAGCTTAGACATCAGAGCCTGCCTCTAAAGTCAGGAGGGTCCAAGAGAAGATCATTTCAGCCTCTCCTTTGAAGCCAGAACCAGACTCAGACAGTCCTGTCTTCCCAGAATATGGCCTCACCTTTGACTCCTGAAAAAACAATGGATGAGGGAGGGGCTGGCCCTTTATGGATCCCTGGGATGCAGACAATCACCTGTCACAGCATGGGGACACATGGGCTACCCACTGCTCCCACCTGCATGGCAGAGCCTGGTCCACCCCCCTCACCCCAGAGAAAGGGTTTTCTTGAGACCATTAGGGTGGCTGTGTGTGGGCGGGGAAGTGCCGACAGTAACCTCAGGAGACGCTGCGAGGCTTTTCTGAGTGAACACTTCCCAGCCTGCGGCCGTCCCAGACTCAGGTGCCAAGTCCTGCGGAGAGGTGTCCTGGGTCCTCCGGGACTGCAGGGGAGGCCCAGGGCCAGAGGAAAGGGAGAGAGGGAGGAAGGGAAGGAGAGACAGAGATAGGAAAAGTGGGAGAGAGAGGAAGCAGGAGAGACACACACACAGAGCCTGTAAATAGCCCAGCTTTGTAAATCCCACACCCTCAGGGTTTGTGGCTTAGATCAGGAAGGAGCCGGTGGAGCAAGACACAGAGGAGCTGCCCTTTGTGGCCCTTTAAGGGAGGGAGGCCCATAGTCAGCGGCCAGTCAGCACCTTGGCTCTGGGCCCTTTTCCCATTGCCCTCATTCAAGAGGCTGCAGAGCCACACCCACTCTTACTCAGGAGGCTCTCGGTGGAGAGGCTGGGGAGCCACACCACTCCGACGCCGATCCCAAGTCTGCCCTGGTGTCTTTGGTTTAAGCGATGGTTCAGTCCTGCAGTTTGGGTCTTAGCCCTTCGTAAAGTTACCTTTAGAATGAAAACCTGGGTTTGGCAAATAGGAAACGGGAACTCTTCTTAAAATTTGGAGTCCCTGTTTTGATTTAAGTTCCCAGTGTCTTCCCCTTGGTCCAGATGAGGCTCAACAACATATGAGGAAGCTACTAGGACCCCTGATGACACACTCCTGTAGGAGAACCCCCCAAAAGTCCGTATTTGGATCAGAGATGCCAGTCACCATCGGCAATGGCCCCATGACTGTACAGCACTTTCCAGTTCCTAAGGTGCTTTTATACCCACTATCTCACTCAGCTCTCCTAGCAACCCTATGGAATGGCAATTTTGGTCCCACATTAGATGGGCTGACTAGGCTGTGAGGCTCAGAGAGGGCCTGTTACTCGGCCAAAAACCCAGTCATGTCCTTGACTACAGTTTCTCCCCATGTCCCAAATCTTCAAGGGCCTCTAAATGCCAGTGGGACCTGTAAGCCACTTAAATGGTCCATAGCTCCAAGCTGAGCTCCTGGACCAGAATTCCTTCCAGCAGTGGACTACACTTCTTGGAGCAACAGTGAGGGGCAGGGTTAGAACAGACTCCATCTTTTACAAAGACCCATCTTCTAGCAGTTCCAGCTATTACCAGCAGGTGGGGCACACTCCCAAACCAGGCTGCTCTGAGGCACTTGAAGCTCCATACCCCAAATTCCTAGGGCTCATCCGGCCCTTCTCTGCAGGAGTCCCACCCTTTGAAAGCCTCTGCACCCATCCTCACCCACAGCCAGGCCACTCTGGTCAAGTCTGTCAGGAGGAGGAGTGGGGCATGTAACTGGATCACTAGACCAGCCCCTGTGGCCCAGTCCAGAGTCTTCAGGGTCTCCTTTGTGCCAGGGGTGATCACAGAGGTCCTCAGTAGATGCTGACTTGCCCTCCTTCCACGGCACTGAACTTAAAGGCCCTCAAAGCATCCCTAATATTGTGAATCACCAGCCAGGGAACTACCCCAGCAGCCTCACTGGATGAGGCCCTCTCTTATCCAGCATGTCAAGGCCAAGGGGAGTGCTGATTCAATCAAATGTTTAGTTATTAGATCATGACTGCATCACCCGTTTTCAAAGCATTAGAGAGTAGTACATTCACAGTGGACTCTATCCTGGTCTTCACAGGATTTGGCCTTGCTCTCAGGCAGCTGTGATTTAATAGTAGATATGACACTAAAGTAGTACGTTACATTCTGGGCCTCAGTGCCCCATCTGTAAAGAGATGACCTTGAACCAAGTAGGCTGAGAGTCCTTCCAACTTTAAAAGGGGTTCTGATTTGAAATTAGCCCCAAGACTCTCAAAATGAAATAGTAAGTAACTGCTATTGAGGATCTAGTGACCCTACCAGCCCCTCCATGGTTGATTTTCCCTGGAAGCTCACAACATTCCTATGAAGTAGGTACTTATATTATCTCTACCTAATGGAAGCTCAGAGAGGTTAAATAACAAGCCCGGAGTCATCCAGCTTGCAGGGATCAGAGTAAGAATTCAAACCCAGGGGTATAAGTCTAGATCAGTTGGGTTTGAGACAAGAAAGCAGCAGTGCTAGAGAGAAAACACCTAAGTATAAATGGGGGTTAAATATTGCCAAGATTTTGCAGTGCTAAAAATAATAGCTTGGGATTATAAATACAGGAATTCTCAAGATCCTATCTTTATCTCTTTTTCATTTGAGAGAACATCCCATGTTTTCCACTCTGAAAGACAGGTGGGTGTGGGATCCTTTTCTGAAGCAAGAGGTGCAGGTCTGATTTTCTTGGAGGATCTGTTCCCTCTAGTGGGCTCTGAGGATCCTTCCAAGAGGGAACACCACCACCCCCCCACACACACACAAACATAGCCCATCTGTGTTTTCACAACAGGCGCTAAAGGATCTGGTTACTGGATACAACTACTGGGGATTCTCCAAGTTTAGTGTGCATGAGAATCACCTGAGGCACTTGTTTAAAATGCTGATTCCAGGGGTCTATCTCCAAATATGCTGATTCTGTTGGTCTGACATGGGGCCCCAGAACCTACATTTCTAATAAACACCCCTTTCCCATTGTACTCTGGCTGCTGGAAGGGGAAATGCACCAAGCCATAGCAAGTCTTCGGAGTTTTTCAAGGTGGTCCCTGGGGCCCAAGGATGCCAAGATTTAGTGACTTTGTCTTTCCTAGCCTAAGCCCTGCACCCTCCCCTTCAGCACCTTGTGCAGCAACTGGAGGAGGCAAACAGGTGAGGACAATGAGTGTATGTCAGTGCAGAGCTACCCTCCTGACCCTATTTACCTAAAGCCCCTGTTGAGGGGTTCAGGATGAGACCTACCTCATTGGCTTTCTCAGGAGTGCCCTTGGGGGAGGGGGAGGCGGGCGAGGAGGGCAGCCTGCGCTCCCGCTCCCAGTCTCGATCCCGGTGGATCAGTTTGCTGTTGGGTTCCTTCAGGGTCCTCTTGAGCTCGTTGATGCTGGCCTGGTGCTTGAGCAAGACATCCTCTGGCTTGTCTAAGAACTAGAGGTGGATGGAGAGGGCAGTGGGTGTTAAAGGAACAGCTCTGAGCAGGGGATGCAGGGCATGGTGCAAATGGTAACCGTGGTGATGGCTGCCCTACATCAGCAAGGTGATTCCCATCCAGGACTCAGTCTCACCCTTACTGCACCCATGAGCCAAGTGGGGCAGACATGATTAGCTCTGACAGGTGCACAAAGCACTTAAGATTAAAAAGAGGAGCAAAAGCACTTAAGATTAAGAAGAGGAGGCTTCTGGCCAAGCACCACCTTTTCTTTCCCCTTGCTTGGCTCCCGGCCTCAGAACCAGCAAGGTAACTCAAATCCCATAAGACTGAGTGAGTTTCCACTGGTGCTGTACACCAAGTCTCAACTGGGCATGGAGGGGACTTCCTTCTGGTTACAATCAAGGCACAGTGAGAACTGGCCAACCCTGTTCACTGGGCTGCTCTGGTCCACTCCCTGGCCTCCAGGGTACCTGGTCCCTTCCAGCCAAGACTTGGACCACTGTGCTTAGCAGAAACCTCAGTCTAGGCCCCTCTTAGCCCAACAGATGAGTTACTCAGACCCTAAGGGGCTCAGCATGCAGATACTCCTTAAACCAGGGACACCCAGAAAAATGAGTCTGGCTCCCACACAGGAGCCAAGAAAAGATTGTGTTCAACATTCTCTACTGTGAACCACTACTTTCCTAATCAGCCAGGGTTTTCTGGATACCTGGTGGAGACCATCTCCTCAAGAGAAGACAGGGTGAGATATGGCTCGAGAGACAAAGTAGGGTGTTTAAGAGATTAGGAGAAATGGAGACCAGCAAGAAGACAGGTGAGGATGGGTATAAGAACTGAGCTGGTTATAGCTGGAGTCTTAGATGTGTCCCCCATTAAACTGCCAAGTTTGAGCTCAAGCCAGTGCAGCATGACAGAATAATCTGCCTCTAGGTCAACTGAGGATCAGCCTTTGCACAGGAGCCAGTAGGCCTACTTTTAGGGGTGGGCTGTTAGCTCAAGCATCTTTATCTGCAAGGCTGTTTGAGGATTCATGTCAACTCAATTCAGGACAAGAAATGGACAATCTCAGCTTATTATAAAGTCAAACCAGCTGATTCTGGAAGAATTACGTGGAAGGCAAGCTTGCCCTTGGACAAGGCTAAAATCTTCCCCTGGGCTTATCTCTGGCATCCAAGGATCCACTATGATTGACTCGTATGATTATCTCAGGAAGGAAATTGATGCCACTGAGGCTTCTGTTTTCTCTCCAGACATCTGTCTGTGCTTCCAGTGTCCCTTCCTGAGCAGAACTGCCTTAGAACAATGTTTGAGAAGTCAAACCTGATAGGGTTTGCACAAAGGGGTGGGTTATGAGCTGCAATGGACCCAAGATATGGCTTGTGACCTATCCTGAACCTGCCACCCTTGCTCTGTGGGCACACGCATCCCCGAAGGTGAGAGGGAGGGAGCAATGGAATCCTGCGATCCTTGATTAGGGTTAAGGGCCTTAGAGAAACCTAGTCCACATGTCTTGCTGTGCAGATGGGGGACGGGGGCCTCCGGGGGCTTACCCATGACCCTCAAAGGATCAGGCTGAAACCCAGTTTGTGGGACTCCGAGGCCAAGCTCTTATGCCCCAGCCCCTGTCCTTTCCCTCAGGCCCTACAACAGACTCACTTCTAGAGTAGTTCAGTTTTAGATGAAGAGTTGGGAACCGTGTGAAAGAGAAGGCAAAGTCCTTAACACAGTAAGTCCAAAGAAACAATGGAAGGGAGAAGGAAGAGGAGAGGGAGGAGAAAAGAAGAGGCTCTCTGGGCGTAGCTGGAGCCCCACCAAGAGGGAGGGAAGCTGGAGTGTGAGAAGACCAGAGGCATTCTGAGGCTCCTCCCTCCCCCCCCCACCCACACTCCCACATCTGGTTGCCAACAGATACATAAAAAAAAAAGCTTTTGGGGAGAGGACACAGAGGACACAGAGGAGGTGGAAACATGACCAACTAGTGGTGTGGGGGAGATGAGTCTAAGGAAGGGTTTGGATGGCGGCGGGGGAGACGAGACCAGTGAAAGCACGGAATGGACTGGAAGAGCTGGAGAACACAGGTAGGATGGTCAGCAGTTGGGAAGCAAGCATGGGTTGGTAGGAAGAGGCAGAGTGTGAGGCTGGGTAGAAGGAGGGAGGGGTGAATAGGGAGGGGGAAGCAGTTGGTTGGGGGGGTAGTCTGAGCAAGGAGCTGGATAGTGGGGGGGAGGGAAGGGGGGGTGGCTGGGGAGTGGGAGGGGGCAGGGGGAGGGAGGAGCCGTACTCGGGGAGGAGTATGGCCGAGGAAAAGAGGCGAAGCTGAAGCCGAGATGGTACCAGGACATAAGCCTGGGGTGGACTACGGGATGGTGACAAACGAGCTGGGCATACGAATGGCTGGGTGAGAGGTGACAGGACCCATGCAGTACCTCCTGCTTGTGTCTCGGCGTGGTTTCCTGCTCCGGCTAGCAACAGGGGGGAGAAGGAGAAGGAACCAGCAGGGTCAGTAGAGCGAATGGACTAGAGGCACAGCACTGGCCCCTGGCCGGGTCTGGTGCAGCAGGTAGCCCAGAGGGCTCTTTCCCAAGGAGCGGGGCCAGGGAAGCTGATGGGCCACTCGCAGGGCCGCGAGGTAGCCAAGGGTGTGGGATGTGAGGCCAGGTGCCGGCCCGGGGAGGTGAAGAAGGGGACGGGAGGACTGGGGGCAAAGCACACTCAGTAAACGCGACACGAGGGCTCGGGGCACTTGTGCTTCTTGCGGTCAGCATGTGTGTTCAGGGGCCTGTGCTCCAAGCTACAACTGCATGATGGAAACACACTGTACCCGTGTGTGCGCACGCCCGTGTGCATCCTGCTTGCACACTGCTTGCACATCTGGTGCGTGACCTTACTGTGAGGGGGTAAATAACTGAGTGAATGCATGCCATCAGAGGCCGTGCCTGCCTGCAGGAGTGTGTGCACAGGTGTGCGGGAAATGTGTGGGGCAACAAGAGGGGGCACACTTGGGACTTCATCCTTGTGAAGGCTACAGGGACACCCCACCATGCTCTGGGGAGGAAGGGGGCCATGCAAACCCAGATTACAGTCAAAGGGGCAAATTAGGAGTGTGCAAGTGGAGGCTGAAGTCCTCTAGGGGACGGAGTGCCCCTGTGGGGAAGCAGGACTAAAGGAGGGGAAGGGTGCAGGGTGGGCAGCATGCCTACCACTCGACACCGGGGGATGCCGAGGTATTGGGCAAGGCCCTGTCCATGGCGCATCCCATAACGAGGGTGCTTGGCCACAGCTGAAAACACCTCAAAGCCAAGGCTGAGGCTAGACCCAGAATCAGCCTCCTGATCCCCAGATTAGAGGGTATGAGAAAGCCAAGCTCCTACCTTTAGCTCCTTGATCTTGGTGGGAGTCCTGACCTCTCCCTCCTCGGCCTCTGACCGCCTACCCCCAGACTCGCCATCCTCCTCCTGCTTGTCACCATCGGGTCCTGCGTCATGGTTCTCACTAACCGAGGCTGGGCGGGAGAACTCCGCTAAAACGGGCAGAGATGGCCAGGTGGCCTTGTGAGACCTCTCCCAGGGGGCCAGACAGGGAGCCAGCCCCGCCACCTGCCCAACCATGGTTGCAGTGGAGCACAGACATCCACATCTCCAACAGGTTGGGGATAAGGAGAGGGGAGGTAGCCTTGTCCGGTCATGAGGATGGTAAGAGGCAGAGCTGCCTCCCAGCCCCGGACGCCCTCCTGACTTCTCTGGCACTAGAGCCCAGGTTCAAATCTCAAATCCATCTCTTCTCGGCTGTGTGAACTTGGGTAAGTTACACAACCTCTCTGGGCCTCAATTTCCTCATCTATAAACAATACCTATTTCAGACAGCTGAGGGGAGAATGAATAAACTAATGTGTGTAAATACTTAGAAAAGAGACTAGCACAGAGTGAGCCAATTCAATCAATGCTTGCTCACAAATGTTGATGTTTTTGTTGTGGTTGTGACAAAATACTCACGACCATTACTTAGCGATACATAGATATTGTGAGATTAGCTTTTACTGCTGAAAGCTAAAGTCCTGAGGTTTGCAAATAATTTAGCCTCTTTACAAATTAGGGAAAGTTCAAGGGGATCCCCGCAATAACATCTTTCTCACTCACTGGCATTCCAAGTACTTTTTTGAATAGGAAAGAAAGGGATGGAATTACAGGCTTTATACCAGGCACTGGGCATAATCCAGGCTATGCCCATGGATTATGCCTCGATGGGAAACAATGCCTGGAAAACACTGAATTTAAATGACCAGGGCACAGATAAGCCTTGGGGCTGGCCTAAATTTAAAGAGAATAATTATTCTTTGTATTTATATATATTCACTTTGCAAAGTGCCCTTTTATGTACATTATCTCATTTGATCCACACAATCCTCTGTGTTGATGGCTAGAATGGGAATCACTATCTTCATTTTACAACGGATAAATTAAGACTCCGAGAGGGGAAAGGTCCCACTGGTGACCGTTCAGTGAATCAGGACAAAGACCTATGTCTCCTGGTTTGGAGTTCAGCCTTCTGGTCCTCCCGAGGGTTGTAGGAGAGGATGAGTCTCACCAGCTCTAGACCAATCTTTGCTGCCCTGTACAATCTGGGCTTCGTGTAGGCCCTGGCATAGAAATGGAAGCTGCAGGGAAAAATAAAGGGACTGTACTTTGCTTTTGCATAAATCTTAGCTTTCAACCCCGTGCCCATTCAAGGAGACAAAAGGAGCTTCCTTGGCCTCAAATGGGCCTTTGCAAAATTGCATGTCCTCTGAACATGGTGAGGACCTGTCCCAGGACTCACTTCATACTGCAGGAAAAGTATCAGAGTCTCCTGATCACGTGGAAAACCCCTAGGTATCCTTCAAAACCCTGCCTAGTTGTCACCCTCCCTGCAAAAAGCCCTTTCTGTGCCTCCCAGACAGAATTAATCCCTCTCTCCTCATGGCTGCTCTATAATCTGTACATACTTCTCCCATGGCTTGAATCACATTAAATGCCTATAAACTCTACTGTTCTATGAGTTCCTCAAAGGAAAAGGCCATACTTATTCTAACACTTGGAAAATATTTGTTGAGCAGAACTAGCTGCCCCAGTGTGTTCTGGGAATATCCGCTGTTCCCCCAGGCAAGTGCCTACCTCTGCAAACCTAAAAGCAATAATAATTTATTACTGCTACAATGAACAATAAGCCATTATTGGGTATAATTTTCAGGTCCTTCTATGTACCAGGAACTTTTTGAGGGGCTGTAGAGGCATTCTCATATTTAGTCCTCCCTATAACACAGCTAAGTATATATTACTTATTTTGAAGAAGAGGTTATAGGCACAGGGCAGTTAAGCTGCTCCAGACCTCCCAGCCATCCAGGTATGCATATTTATGACCACTTCCTGGTATGCAGAGCAGCTGGCAAGTATGAAGACTGAGATTTTAACTCAGACCTGCCTAACTGGATCTCCCCAATGCCCATGTGGCCTCTGAACCTCTCCTACAAACAAACCTCAGTGTGCATATCCTGGAGAGAGTCCTTGGCCAGGGCCCGGGAATCTTCATGTTTAACCAGCTCACAGGTGATCCTGTTGCAGGTAGTCTGTGAGCCATGTTTGGAGAAGCCCTGGTCAGCTGGATACAGGATAATATAGGGGCAATACTCATTGACATTAAGGGTAACTGTCAGCCCAACAGGAAGGAGTGCGGTGGAGAGCACCATGTGGTTAGATGTCAATCAGTTCATCGGAATCAAAAGAATGACCAGGAACAACCAACCCCTCAGCCTCCCATCAGGTAAGGCATCGCCAGCCACATTACACATTGCAGTCACAGTATACCATCCTCCTGAGCTGACAGTCTGTGAATCACTAAGCATGATGGGCAGGGGGCCCAGAAAACCATATGGCTGAACCTGGGACCCCAAAAGGCCATGACTCCGGGAAGTTGCGGGAAGTCCAGAGAGTGGCAATGTCCTATTCCAGCAAGAGCAATGCTGTAGCTTGGGGAAAACCACCAGGAGCTGCCCAGGTACAGCAGGGCCCTGGGCCACTGGGCCTGCTGCTGAACAATGTGTGAGGTGTCCACCACTGTCACTGTTCATTCCACGAAAGCAAGTGTGCCCCCACTTCCCACTAAATGCCACCCCTCTCCCACCTCCCAGCTGGGGCATACCTCCATCAAGGCTGCGGGACATGGTGTACCGTTTGCTGGAGGAACGCTCAAAGAAGGGTGCGGGCCGATCAATGAGGGCGCTGGCCTGGCGGGTCTGTGCCTGGGTCCTCCCACTATACCGGAACTTGGAGCCCATCACCAGGAAGCCCTTGGGTGGGGGCTCAGGCGACACCAGCCTGCAGTGGAGGGAGGAGGTGAGGAGGGGGATCAGACCTCCATTGTCAGGCCCAAGGCTGGACCACAGCTGGCCTTTCATCCCACTGTCCCACCAGCTACAATTCAAAGTGGTCCATAAGGGGAGAAACTTGGGGAAGGGGGCTTGCCTGGAGTCCCTCCTAGTTCCTTCTCCTGCTTCCCCCCTCACAGAGCACACCACCCCAGGGTCAGGCTCACCGGAAGAATGTGTGGTGCTCAATGCAGACCTTCCACAGCCTCTTAGCTGACCGGTGGTTTGGGAGCTTAAAGCCAATTGTGCTCTCAAATTGCTCGTACTGCAAAACCAAGGAGAGTGGGTTAGAAGCAAGGCCTGGGCTCTCTGGCTGCTGGTCCATCCTTTCTAAACCTCTTCTCAGGCATGTGCAACTCTGGCCTGTTCAATCATTTATTCATTCATTTACTCAATAACGTGGACCGAGCCCTTACTCTGTGACGGGCCCAGTGCTAAGCAGCAGAGACAACATGATGACCAAGACAGATGGTGGAGCCAGGGGATGCTCTATTAATAAATTAGTAAACAAGATCACTTCAGACACTGATAAGGGAATGAACAGAGATGAGTGATGTGATAGAATACCGGGGCAGGTGTGGGGATCAGGATCTGGCTTAATAAGGGTGATCAGGGAATGCCCTCTAAACAGGTGATCTCTGAGCAGATATCTGAAGGATGGGGAAGGAACTCGCTATGTGAGAGAGAATTTCAGGTGGAGGGAACATCAAAAGCAAAAGGCTGGAGGAGGGAAGGTCTTGGCCCATTCTAGGATGTCAGATAATGCCAAAGGGGCTGGAGCACACTACATGGGGCAGAGATACGTGGGAGAGGTAAGTGGCTACACCTGGAGTTCAGACAGTAGCCCATGAGCCAGAGAGCTCTTGAGAGGTTTTAGGTGGGAGAGGGAGTGGGGGGTAGTAATCTGATTGTATCAGACATGACCTGATGGAAGGGACTTTTGAGCTCTCTTCAGCAGTTATGAGAAAAATGACCTGAAGGCACAATGGAGGCAGAGGGACCAGTGAGAAGCACCTTGTAGAGATGTAGGTGAGAGCTGGTGGCCGTTGGTGACTGGTGCAGTGGAGAAAGACAGAAGCAGATGGGTTTGTATTTATTCTAGATGTAGAAACAAATGGACTTTTTGATGGGTAAGGTATGGAGGTTGAACATATGCACGTTTGTGTGTGTGTATGTGGTCATGTATTTTGGTATGTGTACACACTTGAATACTTCATGTAAGCAAATACCTGGACATGGATGGCCAGGTACTCATTGATCTGTGTAACCTGAATGTATGTGGTTATCTTTATGTGTGCTCCTGTGTGTGTCTGTGTGTGTACGATGTTTGTGTGTAGGCACACACATAAGGCATGAAGTCTTTTTTTAAAAAGTAGGCTCCACGTCCAGTATTGGGCTTGAACTCACAACCCTGAGATCAAGAGTTGGATGCTCTACTGGTAAGCTACCCAAGGCATGAAGTCTATGTAGAGAGCTCCAGAAGAAGAGTACTCTCTCCTTACCCAGGACCTCAGCACCCCATCCACGTATACTAAGCAAGAAAAACCCAGGCTCAGCTGTCAGGGTCCTCCCTCCATTCTAGCCAATTCCGGTGAGAAGGAGGGGTTCCCAAGGCAGGCTCACCTCCCCAGGCCGGATCTTGATATAGAAGTTACTCCTCTTATAGGAGATCTTAAGAATCTTGGGCCAGGCGAAGCGGTTGATTCTCAGTCGGTCCCGGTAGATAAGCAGGCCATTGGCACAGACTCCCAACATGATGTCGATGCCCTCAGAGTCCTACATGAGGAGACACCGTCAAATGGCAGGCCTGGGGTCCATACCTGCGACCTGGCCTGAAACCCCTTCCTGAACTCTGCGTCTAAAAGCCCCCAGGATCGGGGTTAGAGGCTGCATGCTGGAATTCCCCGACCAATCTCACACAGTCATTCATTCCATTCACTCATTCGTTCTGTCATTTATACGCCCAGTTGCTTTTTTGATCATTCTCTCTGTCACTTACTTAATCATTCATTTGCCAAAAAAACATGTAGTGATACGTGTGTGGTGCCAGGCCAAGCTCTATGTGCTAAGGATACAGAAATAAATGAAAGCCTGTGTCTTTTGCTCATGATGCTCCCAAGCTAATGGTACAAACAGGTTCATAAGTAAATATGAGAAAAATTATAAAGATTATAGGAAAATAAAGGATTATGGAACTTTGAGGAAAGAGAATTAAGAACATAAGAGGCTTCAGGTTGGAGGGACCACTGAGTCTGGCACACCAAGTCCTCTGGAAGCACCAGGGACACCCCCCCCCCCCACCTCTGATGCTAGAAGACCCAGAAGTACCTTGGCATGGTGCAGGTCTACTCCATACATGGAAAGCTTCTTGGCGTTCTCTAAGAAGTGGATTTCTGCCTCTCCCGGAGTCATGCCCCTAAGGGAAAGAACGTGATCACAAACAGCCATGGAAAACACACAGGCCTAAGTCCTGCTAGCTGAAGGTGGCCGTGATCAGAACCTGTGATGCTAGAAAGGCAAATGTTCTGGAGTGGGCATACAGCTAGGCCTTGCCCAGTCCCTCCCCTCTGTTCTCAATGCAAGATGGTGCACTCCCAGCCCCAGCTTCAGCCACCCAACCCCCTCTCATTGCCAAAGCTCAGGTCCAGTCTTGTCTCCTCCAGGAAGTAGTCAAGGGATGAGGTGGGAGTCGGGATTTCTGCTTCAAACTGCCACTGAGTTCAGTGTGAGTCATAAACTCTGCTTCTCCTTGACTGCAGAGCCATTGTAGAGGACACTGTTCATCATAACCACACAGGGACTCCTAAATTATCACCCACGTAAGATATTTCTCTAAGAATTTTGTATCAGCAACCACTTCATCTCCCCCAAGAAGCAAGCTCTCCTTTCTGAAAAGAAAGCTGTATAATTCATCAAGTTCCTTCTTTGCTTTGGCTGCCAGGAAACTACAGTTTCTATTTAGTCACAGCTAACATTTATCGAGCACTACATGCTGGTTAATGTTCCAAACGCTTCACGCATATGAACTCACCGAACCCTCCTAACAATTCTGTAAGGTAGGTATTATCACTTTATAGACAAACCAGCACAGAGAGCTTGAATAACTCGCCTAAGGCCACACAAACTATTAAGCAGCAAAGTCAGGATTTGAATCCAGACAACAGGGCTCCAGAGTCTGTGCTCCTTTCCAATCACTTCACTTATATCTGTCTCATACCCCCTGGGCCTCAGTTTCCTCTGCTCTGTCCACCTCAGTGAGCTGCTGTGTGAGATGCCTGGACACTAAGATGTCCACGTGCTTTAAGTCGAAAGAGCTGTAAGAGCTGAAGGGGTGGTCATTAGCATTTCTCCAGCCTATATTTGAGCTTCTTTCTCTGAATCAATAGGACTTTCGCAAATCCCTAACACATCTTGTTACCTATGACAGGGATGACAGGCGGCAGGCAGGTCGCCACTCCCTATTCCTGAGCCCAGGCAGACACTGCTAACCAACGGGGTTTCAGTATCCTGTTCAGCATAATAGGGTAGCAGCCACTACTACCCCGAGTTGATGTGCAAGTCTCTGAGAGACACACTTGGCACTCTGGACCCAGCACTCCATCACACCCCAGCGGGCTTTCTTCCCCCTGTACACAATCCATCCACATCTGGCCCTAGGCCTCCTCTCCAGATGCAGCCCCCAGGAGACAACCCTCCTCATTCCTCCCATCCACCTTAGCAATGAGATAATATCACCATAACCCCCTGCCCCAAACATACACAGCACTTTACAGCTTATAACGTACTTCACATCATTTATCACACCGGGTTCCCATAACAACCCTGGACTTGGAGCTCAAAGCACTTCCAGCTTGAAAGGACCCTAGAGACCATTTAGTTCCAGGTGACTCCCCCCACGGGTGGTACCAATCTCACGGCAGCATTTGGAAATGGGGGAGGGAGCATTTGGTTGTTAGATGACTAAGAGGGTATTATGGGCATTTGATGCCTGTAGCTCAGGGATGCCAAACATCCTGCACAATGAATTCTCCTGCCCCAAATATCAACAGTTGAGGCACACGGATAATCTAAATCCATACATGTGCAAGTGAAAAATGGGGCTGCTAAGTTAAACAGCCAGCCGCACCATGACCCACCTAGTTAATCATCGTCTAACTCCTAGAATGAGGTACTTTCCATTGCACAACTATTCAACCCCTAAAATCACAGAGAGCGACAATAAATATGAGGTGTGTCTATAATGTGTGCCATTTAGTCCCCCAACAACACCACAAGGCAGCTTCTATTAGCACTCACACTGAACAGAAGAGGAAACTAAAGCATATCTTTAGTGACCTGTCCAGATGCCCTGGTTAGAAAGTGGCACAGCGAGAACGTGAACCCAGGCAGTCCAGCTTCGGAGCGCAAACTGTTGAACTTTACACCAAGACACAGACATCAGGACACAGGAGAGTTTTGATTATCTCCAGCTGGCAGATAAAGAGACTGATCCTTGGAGGACAAGAACAGGGAATCATCATGAACCTGAGGTCCCAAGAGGTCATTTAAGGTCACACCGCTAGTTACTACCGTTCCCATTTGATAAAGCCCCAGTGGGATGAGATGAGTTGCTCTCATGTGCTCTCATGCACCTCGAGTCAGGGGCAGAGCCAGGTGGGGTACTGACAGTGCAGCATCTGGGGCCCTAGCCGACAGCTGAAAAGCCAGGGGAGGCCCTTCACCTGTATGTCTTGTGCAGCTCCATGATCCTCTCCTCCAGCTCCCGGGTCTGGTTGGGGGCAAAGCGGAGCTCGCTGACATAGTTGCCTACGTGCTCCTCAGCATCGTAGTCACCCAGCTCAGCCTGCACAGCGTAGGAGCCCAGCAGGGCATGTGTGACGAAGGAGCAGGGCAGCCGACCCGTGATGATGTCCGCCCGCAGCTGCAGGCACAGGTAGTATCTGGAGATAGGGGAGAGTGGCCATGGGCACGGGCCCCACCCCCTCCCCAGATGCCCCCAGCACAGCTGCCCACCTGCCCGTCAGAACCAAACTGATCAACACTCGGCTTAGTAGAAAAGGGATGCTCCTAGACACCGGCATTTCAGGCGCTGATACTTTGGGTGTGTCCTAGAAGATGGTTTTATACCATTTCACATGCCTGTAAGTATTTTGTTAATTTCTAGTTTTGAGAGATTTTTCTTACCGTAGGAACATTAAATTTCTAACTTATTTTGAAGCTAAATACTTTGCTGGTTGAACATTTTTTAAATGTTATCTATTTTTAATCCTACAACTAATATATTCTTATTGTGGAACAGATGTAAACTTTGGTGGGTTTTTTTTCAGTGTTTTTATTTATTTTGAGAGAGAGGGAAAGAGAGAATGCATGTGTGCGTTCACAAGTGGGGGGAGGGGCAGAGATACAGGAGAGAGAATCTCAAGCAGGTTCCAGGATGCCGGCGCCGGGCCCAACACAGAGCGTGATCTCACAAACCGTGAGACCATGACCTGAGCCGAAACCAAGAGTTGGATGCTCAACTGACTGAGCCCCCTAGGTGTCCCCACAGATGTCAACTTTAGAGATGATTCTGAATTTCCTTATGATGTCCATTCTCAGCCCTAATCTCCTCCCCCAGAGGTCACCCCTATTATCTGTGTGGTGCTCTAGATGGACATACAGAAATGCGCATGTTTCGATTCATGGGTGTTTTTAACATGTACGTGGTATCAAATGATACATCTAACTCTACAGCTGGCTTTTTCACACCCAGCTACGTGCCTAATGCCCTTCACAGATCACCACAAATGACCTAACCTCATCCATCTTAACTTCCACACTTCATTCCACAGCCAGGACAAAGCTGTTTGCCAATGTTTTCTCAAAACTTTTGTATTTTGCCTTCAGCAAAATTGTAAGTGAACTGTCTAAAAACAAATTATTTTAAAAGAAACATTTCCAACCACAAAGCTATGATTTTTTTTAAAACTTTATGCATACTCGGATGATTTTACAGTTTATAGATCCATTTTATACCATTTTTTTTATTGCCTTTTCGGTTACTGCATTAAAAAAATGTTTCAGTTCATTCTCAGGCAGTGATGCCTCCTTGCCCATCTTGTCACATTTCACCACTGTTTGCAATCATCTATTTCTTTTCCTTTTAAGTGGCTTTTACTCCGTATAATTTTTACTGCTCCATGACATTATTTTGCAGTCTGAACTGAAGCTCTGGCAAAAAGTATGTGCAGCCTCAGTGTGCACTCAGGGCCAAGGCATAGGCTCAGAATCAGCAGGAGCTCAAACATCACAGGCACCAAGTGTGGGCCTAAAGGCATTTTTGTTCAAGTCTAAAAATTAGAAAATCACTGCCAAACACTCTAATATTTCATTTCAATTTGTTAATCTGACCAGTTTATTTTGAACCTGAATATTTTTTACTAAATCAGCTGCTACTACCACCCCATTCCCTGAGGTCCTCCATGCCAAGCAGGACTAGTTTCTCTCCTGGTGCCCCTAGAAGCCCAATGCCCGAGGAGAGATACCAGCGGACAAGACCAGTATGATAGGGACTAAGCTGGCCTACAACTCTCAGCCCTCTTGGAAATGGAGTTGAGACCTTGGTGCTGAATCTTGGTCCCAAGATGACCTCGGGCTTAGAGCAGGGCTAAAGAGGCCAAGGCTTCAGGTCTGATCTATCCCAGGAACATCTGTATTATCCCCAAGGTCACGGTCGGCATTGGGTCCATGGCCTGTTGCTTGGCATACAGGCAGCCAATATTAAGAAGAGACCCAATGGGAGAGAGAGGCTGTCTGAGTAGCCCCTCCTCTGCTATAAGAATAACTCCAAGCCATCATCTTATTGTTGTTAGGAGTGTGGTTGATAACATAACCCCAGGATATCATGAAGTGAGACTATCTCTTTGGAAAGGGCTTAGATAAAGAGAAGGGTCTCTCCCTATCCTGATTCCAGAGGCAGGATCAGTCCCCATAGAAGTTCTCATTCTGAAAAATGCTTTGCACCCCCTTCTAATCTTCAAGCCACATGATCTACTGGCCCTGAGGCACAATGAGATATTATATACAATCCATGTTCACCCCAGCAGCCCAGGCTTGCCTCCATGGGGTGGGGGTGGGGGATCACATCTCATTGACCCTTACATGCCTGATGTGTACAGGGCAGCACATGGGACCAAATTCCTATGGGCAAAGGCACCTGTGCTCTACTCCTGCCTTCTCTCCAAAGTTGAGAACATCAGAACATCAGCTTTCCAGAACATCAGGCTTGAGATGTGTTTGGCTTGTTCCATACAGAGACGGCCTCCACCATGTTTTTAAAAAGTTTGAGTTTGCTACTAACATTTAAAAATTGTGGATTTTCACTCTCAAATCTCTAGCTTTACTTCAACCGTTCCCAAATGGCAGTGATTGCTGGAGCTAACAGCAATAGTTTTAGATGGCGTGTCCCCTGTTGAATTTCAATTTCAATCAGTGAAATGGGTCCCTCTAAAGCGGAGGGTCAGCTTCCACTGCCGACTGAGTTTGTATCACTTTTTCTTGCAATGGGTCAGCTTCCTTTGTTGATGCTGTCTGTCTGGACGCACTTAGGCATCTCAGTTTGCAACTGCCATCGTCTACTGCCCCATGTCTACCAGGGGCAGGTGCCTTCGTTCCTAGTCACATGGCCAGCACGCCCACCCCACCTCTGCTGCCCTCACCTTGTGATGTCTTCTGTCAGCTGGGCAGGATCAGGGGGGTAGAACTTGACTGTGAAGGCAAAATTCCAGGGGCTGCCTGAGAGGTGAAGATAGGAGAACAATCAGAGGCCCTATCACCCCAGTGGGTGACCCAGATGCACCATCCTGTGGGCAATTTCTCAAAGTTTCCTCATATCTATGATTTCAGGACAATCTAATCAGGAAGTCTGGAATATTATTCCCACTTGAAAGATAAGAAGACTGAGGTCCAGGTTGAAAGACTCCTAAAAGAGCAATGGGAAGGAAGATGCAAAGAAAGAAGAGCAGTGGTGCATGCCGGGCCTACTGGGAATCATAAACATCCTTCAGGAAACCCTGTAGCAATTCCTATGAGTAAGTCTTATGACTATCTCCATTTTGCGTATAAGGATACCAAGGCCCAGGCAGTAACGGCCAGCCCAAGGTCACTCAGCTAAGAAACGTTAATGCTGGGGCTCAGACCCAAGCCTCCTAGCTCCAGAGCCCATGCTCCCTCCTCCACGTCAAAGTCTATGCCATTGGACGTTAATGAGAAGAAAACAAGTCACATTAAACGGGTTCCCTAACTTTGGACTTCTCAGAGCCCTCACTCTACTGTTGTCAGTTGCATCCCTCAAGGGGACATGCATTTAGGGGTTTCCCAAACTTATTTGTCCTGCTGTGCCCACTTCTCATAGGGCATCCTGCCAGGTTACTGGTCCTAGGAACCCCTGTAAGATTCTGGCCCTGTGCCGGGTCAGTTCCACCACCACCACTGACGGCAGAACGGGGTTATCAGCAAGACCTAAAAGGCAAACAAATGTAATGAGCAGAAAGTAGCAAAGGGCTTTTCACAGGGATAAATGCTAAACTCCACACTGAGACACAATCAATCAATGGTGCGCAAATAGGCACAGAGAGAAATAAAGGCTGAGGTTTTAGCTGGAAACAAGCTCCACAATGACCACTTGAGAGAGAGGAGGCCTTGGGGGAGAGCTACTGTCTAGAACAATGGGCAGATCACTCCGGGGACAATGTGAGAAAGCAAGCCCCATCAGGGCAGGACCACAGTCACAAGGGCTGGAGGTTATGCCATCACTACCATCCTTGTCCCTGTGATCCTCGCCTCTTCCCCAAAACCCTGTAATGTCTCCAGCACTTACTAAGCGCTGGTCACTTTGCTTGCTATGAACTTTCCATGCACATATAGGAGTTTGAGCTTCATAACGATCCTGAGATAAACTTTTGTTTTATTAAAAAAATTTTTTTAATGTTTCATTTATTTTTGAAAGAGACAGAGGGTGAGTGGGGGAGGGGCAGAGAGAGAAGGGGAAAGAGAGAGAGGTGGGTGGGGAGGGGCAGAGAGAGAGGGAGACACAGAATCTGAAGCAGGCTCCAGGCTCTGAGCTGTCAGCAAAGAACCCGAGGCGGGGCTCAAACCTGCGAACCGTAAGATCATGACCTGAGCCAAAGTCAGACCCTTAACTGACTGAGCCACCCAGGTGCCCTGAACTTTTGTTTTTATAGATGAAATTCTGAGAGAGTATGTCACTCTCCTGGGGTCACTGAGCTAATCAATGGTGCAGAACGGGGATGTAAGCTCTGGTCTCCGGACCCAGGAACCCACAGCTAAAGCAGCTTCAAGGAGAACAATCCCTGTCTCAGGAATAATAGTAATAGCAATAATAGTAGTAGTAGTAGTAGTAGTAATAATAATAATAATAATAATAGATAATATGTACTGGATGCTTCTAGGTGCAGGCACCATTCTAGGTGTTGCACACATGATAGCTCATTTACCCTGCACAACAACCCTACAGGTAAGTACTATCATTACCCCTGCTTTACAGGTGAGGAGACTGAGGCACAGAACAACTGAATAACACAAGAAGCAGAGTTAGAGTCGGGATTGAAATCCAGTCAGTCTGGCTTCTAGTGTCTGTCTTTCAACCATCACACCAAACTACGTCAGGGAAGTACCTACTATGTGCCAGGTGCTGTCCACACGTAACCAGCACCTGTCCTTGTAAGGCATGAATCACTAATCCACTTGCCAAGGAGAGGCGGGAGCCCAGAGAGGCGCCCCCAGTGCCCTAGGTGATGGGCATCGAGATTTGGGAGGAAATATACCCAGTTCTGAAGTGCAAAAGGACCCATGGTAATGCCTTCAGGAGGCTGAGGGGCTGAGCAAAAAAATGGTGGGCGCCTCACTGGCTGTCAGTGGAACAGGAGACTCTTGATCTCAGGTTTGTGGGTTCAAGCCCCATGTTGGGTGTAGGGATTACATAAAAATAAAATCTTAAAGGGGCGCCTGGGTGGCTTAGTCGGTTAAGCGTCCGACTTTCGCTTGGGTCATGATCTCGCGGTTCGTGGGTTCGAGCCCCGCGTCGGGCTCTGTGCTGACTGCCTGCTCTGAGCCTGGAGCCTGTTTCAGTCTGTGACTCCCTATCTCTCTGACCCTCCCCTGCTCACGCTGTCTCTCTCTCTCTCCTAGAAATAAATTAAAAATAAAATAAAATAAAATAAAATAAAATCTTAAAAAAAATTGTTCCAAGGGGGCCCAGAAGGTGGAACAAAGCTGAATGGGTAGAAGTCCCAGGGGTAGGGACGGAGACTGTGGCTCTACCAAAAGAGGCAGAACTGCTCCTCCATGACCTGAGGTGGCCAGGAGCGGCAACCACTCACGAGGCCTGGGCCGTGCTGGCCGGGGCTGCAGAGATGGGGGACCAGCTGACTCCCTGCTCTGGGGAAAGACGCTGAGCTCCAATGATTCTGTCTTCAGCCTCTCCTTTGCAAGCTCCCGGTCCTCCTCTAACAGGGCACACTCGGCTGCCTGTATGTGTTCCAATTCCTTCAGGCATGAGAGGCAGGCCTCCCAGCTGGGCTGGGACTCCTAGGGACAGCCCGAAGCCCAGGCCTAGGACTCTGTCAGCCCCAGAGGAGCATGCTCTGTCCGTGTGCCTGCCTCTTTGTCTTCAACTGACAGGAGCCTACAGGAAGAATCCCTCCAGCCCCTCCCGGAGAGTCAGCTGGCATCCCTGGGCCCAGCTGCCTGCTGTCATGGCAACAGGCTCTGCTTTCCAGCCCCAGGGACCTGGGAGTCCAAGCACAGCCAAGGGGGAGGGGCTCCCAGTGGAGGCATCTCTGCTTCTGGGCTCCAGGTCTCCACCTACTGCATGCCCCCTGATTGAGCACCTACCTCTTCCCTTCTGCCATTAGAAGGCTGCTCCACCCCTCCCAATATGCCCTTCCTCTCTGGGCCAGAAAGGACAGGTTGTCTCTTCACCCCAGGCCTTGAAAAGAGAGCAGGATGGTGTTGGGAGGCCAGGGCTAAAGACCTGGACTGGCCAATAGTTCACTCTGTGACCTTAGGTAAGCAACTGTCTCTCTCTGGGCCTCAGCCATCTATCATCAAATATGAAAGCTGGCCCGGAGCAGGGCAGGCCTAGCTTTTCTCTAATATGTTAACTCCCATCAGGTGACAGTGGTCTGCAGTGCTGTCTGGATGAGGATTCTGAGCTGAGTCAAGGGCCACTGACCATAGGAGTTTACACCAGCCCTAGACAGGAGTGAAGCTGTTTTCAGGCCGTCAGTTTGTCCCCTTGTCCTAGATGATTCTACAGGTCCCTTCCAGGGCTGTCATCCAGAAGGCATCAACGTTTCCTCCGCTAACCTGCTGTGTGACTCTAGACGGTCATTCCTCTCGTGCCTGCCTCAGGTTTTCATTTATAAGGCAATGCCGGGCCTTCCCTAAGATGTGCTGTGCAGCGCAAATGAACTCCTGGGTCTGGACCCTCTTCCCCACGTAGGAGGGAGCCACACAGCTGGAGCCCCTGTGGCCTGGAGACCCCACCCACCCTCCCACAAAATCCCCAACCGTGATGAGCCACTCACTCCGGATCTGCTTCTTGATTTCCTTGGAGGGGTCCAGCCAGTTCTGAAAGAGAAGATAGGGTTCTTTAGAGAGAAGATGGGGAGAGGGCCAGACAGGGCTAGGAGAGAGAGACATCCTGAAACAGCCTGTCAACAGTCCCTGATGGGGAACACCCTTTCCAGACTGGGCGGTCCAGGCCCTTTGGACCTGGAAAGTGAGGGAATGAGATATGGATTCACCACCGGGCTTGGGACCCTGGATGCAGGACTGACATTGCCCTGAGACAGCGGGGTGGCCAGGTCTGTGCAGCTGCAGTGGGACTGGTGGGAAGGAGGAAACTCAGACAGGAGCCTCCCAAGGGTGTGAAAGAGGTGCCCGGGTAAGTGTCTCAGGTTCCCCAGGAAGCCAGGCCATGGCTCTCCAGATATGCACCTGGGGGGTGACTTGCAGGTCCCCAAGAAAGGACTTGGTGGGAGGGGTAGAGACAGAGAACTGAGACAGAAAGGGCTGGCTGAACCTTGGGTGCATGCAAACAGAAGGCACCTAATGAGAATCTGAGGACTGATGGAAGGCAGAACTATGTGGGGGGGGGGGTGCCTAAGAGAAGAGGTCCCCACCCCACCCCCAAACCCCTCACAGCGCCCTGCTTGCCAGCACAGGTACCTTCTGGCTGTCGGCATCACAGAAGGTCAGGCCGAAGTAGTCCTTCTCCAGGAGGTTGAGGTGCTCACAGACCAGGTCAAACAGCACCTGGCCCCGGCCATGTTTCTGAAGAAGAGAGCAGAGCTGCTGTGAGGCCAGGACACATCCTGAGGTGGGGCTCCACCAGGGCAGACTTGAAAACTCCGAAGAGCCTTCCAGCATCTGAAGATGACCTCAGCACTCCTGCCACCCACCTGGCACTGCTCCCCAAGTTCTACCAGATCCTGTGACACTAACGCCCAGCTCACCAACTACCTTCTTCCCAAGCCCTGCTGGGGTCCTCCTAGACCTTAGGCCTGCTTTGGGGAGTGGGGGTGGAGGTGATTGATTCTTCTTCCTTTACAGAAATTAAGAGAAGAAGGCTAACTTTGACCCAAGGAACGGAAAAGCCAAAGTCCAAGCTGTAGATGTAAGAGGAAGAGAAAAGTCACCTGAAATACAAGGGACACAGGCAGGGGAGAAAGGGAGGGTCTAGGACTCAGGGTCACAGTGTGACTCTTTCCCTGCCCCCCACCCCCCTTACACTAAGTCTGAGTGACATCCAGGGCAGCCCAGCCTGGAATGCCACCCTCTACCCAGGCAGCAAGTAAGGTTTTTCTAGGGGCTCTCAGGCCTACAGCAGCCTCAGCTGGGAGCAGCACTGTGTGAGCCACCTCTTCCCGCCACTCCCACACAACCAGGCTCAGTAAATCTCTGAACCACCATGTGGGCCTGAGGATTCAGAAGGACAAAGCCCAGGGACGCCTGGGTGGCTCAGTTGGTTAAGCGTCCGACTTCAGCTCAGGTCATGATCTCACAGTTCGTGGATTTGAGCCCCGCGTCAGGCTCCGTGCTGACAGCTAGCTCAGAGCCTGTAGCCTACTTCAGATTCTGTGTCTCCCTCTCTCTCTGACCCTCCCCTGCTCACACTGTCTCTCTCTCTCTCTCTCTCTCTCTCTCTCTCTCTCTCTCTCTCAGAAATAGATAGATAGATAGATAGATAGATAGATAAATAGATAGATAGATAGAAAGAAAGAAAGAAAGAAGGACAAAGCCCAGAACCTGGCTGGGTACTCCAAACCCACAGATGAACACCAGTAAAGGGATTACAGGCTGGGATAACATGAATCAGTCACTATCCAAAGAGGGAGGGGACTCCAGAGAGAGGGTGAGGTCCCTGCACGGTCTGGCTAGGTCACCAGGGGACTGGGGCCGGGCCTAACTGTGGAGAGTAGTTTGGGGAAGCTAAGGGATTCCTGAGCCTGGAAGAGTCCTTCAGACAGAATGGACCTGGTCTCAACCAAACCCTCCACGCTCTCGCGGGACAAGCTGAAACTGCATCTCGGGCCCAGTGTGGGTAGGAGAGAACAGGCGGAATATATCCCTTTCTTTTGCCCAGGAATAGGCAAGATGTTCACCTTGTAATCCCTCTATAGAAGAAATAAACATTAAAAAAACAAAACAAAAAAAACAAATAAAAATAAAAACAACCCTGCAGAGAAGAGGGACCCAGTCTATTAGGGCCCAGAAATAAGTTGCATCCCTTAAGACCAGGGGGCACCGGGCAAAAAGGGAGGTGATTCTTGTAACTCTCAGCAGTAAAGCCACCCGCTGGACTCTCCCACACACCTGGAGAGGGCCAGGAATGGTGCCCAGACTGGGGTGGGACCCTCTAAGGGGAGGTTAAGAGCTCAGAATTAGGGTGGAAGTCCTAGCCTATACAGGAAAGGGAGATGACAAATGTGAGACCAGGAGGGCTGACCCTAGACAGGAGGTGTCTGCCCTGCCCACCCACTGTGGGACTGGATCATGCCACAGGGTTTCTACATGGCCTGGGTGAGGAAGCCAGGGGCAGCCTCTCCATGCCTGGGGATACCTATGCCATGGAACTTCAAGTGACTGGTCTGTCCTGGTGCCCTGGAGAGGAGCATTCACAAAGGAAGCCCCTCTCTCCATCTAATAAAAACATAAAATGACTCTAGTTGAAACACTAGTGTCTGCTAGGTGAGACTGAAGAGTCCAGTCCACAGGCCTACTGGGCTAGAGATCAGCCCTTGGATGATGGGGACTCCTTGCCAAAGTACAGCCCCTCCCTCCCCGAGAGGGGAGGTGCCAGCCCTGTGTCCCGTCTAATTCTATTTGCAATCGTAACAGCCCTCTCCGGGCCTCGGTGCCACCATCTGTACAAAGGAGGGCTGGCCAGGTCATCTCTCCGGGATGCTGCAGTCAGTCCAGGACTCCATGAAGAATGGATGCTCTCTGGCTTGGCCCAGGCTGAGTGTACACAGAAGCCTGCCCTGGCTCTGGGGCCAGTCGGCTAGGGCAGGGCACATGGTGGGGGGTGCTCCCTACCTCCACCTCACACTCGTACTCAGAGGCATCAAGCAGAGTGATTCGGCAGATGGCACTCTTGTACTTCTTGGCAATCTTCTGGGGTGATTTCTGGGCTCTGCTGGGCGTGGTCCTCTCTGACAGGCCATCAGCCTCCCCATAGCCCTTCTCCTCCATGTCTAGGCTCTGTAGGTCCAACCAGGGGAAAAGTTTGGTCAGTGAGCTGGAGACCGTAGCCTTTCATCCAAACGAGACACAGTAAGGATACAGCAGCTGGGGCTAAGATGGTCCCCAAAATGAGAGCCACTGCCCTCCAAGACCCCCAGGGTGACCAGCACCTATGGTAGGTATATGCAGGAGGAGAGCCAGGGCTTCTACATGCAAAGGGTTGACTCATGGAAGGGGTCCACTTCCTCAGGTGGTGGGAGGCATCCCACAGAACCAAAGCCGGTGGCCAGGGCTGCCCGATCTCCCTAAAACAGCACATGAGTTATCAGAGCATCCATTTGGCCTCCTCCTTATCAGACTGCCACTGGTCTAGCATGAAGCTGAGAGCTTGTGGAATGACCTAATGCCAGCTAGTCCTAACTGCCACCAATGGCCTCAATGACCTTGGCCACGTTCTTGCTCTCTTGGCCTGTCGTGAGTGAAGGGGGGTGTGAATTCATTGGCTAGATAATTCAGCAGGTCCTTTGTCCCTTCAGGGTCATAGATTTTGCTCTGGGGTCATACTGGGCTTGCCAGGCTAGAATGGACAGTTTCAGGGGGTAGGAAAATAAGGCTGAAAGAACACATGTTTTGGAAAACAGAGCTAGATTTTACATCCATCTGTCACTGTACAACAACGTGACTCTGGATAACTCATTTCATCCACTGAGCCACCACTTCCCCAAGCGTAAAATGCGACAGTTAATAATTCTCTTAGGTGTGCACAGCTGGCTCAGTCAGTAGAGCATTTGACTCTTGATCTCAGGGTCATGAGCTCAAGCCCCATGTTGGGTATAGTGCTAACTTAATTAAAATGTGTATATATTATATGTATATACGTATACGTATATGCGTATGTGTGTGTATATATAAATACATATATGTATGTGTCTACATATATATACATGTGCATGTATATGTATATGTATACACACACTCTAGGTTTGGGAGAATTAAATATAAAAGTGAACATGATCCTCCTAGGCTAGTACAGTGCTTGGCATATAGCAGGTCAATAATAATTCTCAGTGTCCTTCTTCCCTCCCCACTAAGAACTGGCCCTGGATTCCTGCTGGGCAGGAAGAGGGATCCCCATGCTCTCAGGCACACACCTGTTCAGCAGGCCGAGTGTCCTGCTGGAGCGGGTGCTTCTCATTGGAGTTGGCCTCGGGGTGGCCGTGGCCTGCAGGGGTCACAGGGGTGGTTGCAGCAGCGGCCGCCTCAGGCTGCTGTGGGGCCTCCTCCTGAGCCTTCTTCACCTCAGAATCGGGGCCTGTCTCTGTTGTCATGGTGACCAGCACGCCTGCATTTGCACGGAGGAGAGCACATGACAGGGGAAAGGGACAGTGATGGGGTGACAGAACAGAGAGAGAGGACAGGAACCACACATGGAGAGAGACAGATGGAGACAAATGGACAAAGAGCCACAAAGAGAAGGAAGGAGGGAGGCAGGGAGAGACAGGAAGTAGGGATGGGGAGAGAGCAGAAGTCAGGGGTTACTGGCCGCAGCCAAGGTCACAGACTCCCTCCCGCTCTAGCGACCATATAACTCCTCGGGGATGCCTCCTGTCTCTTGGCCCAATTCTAGAATGGGGCCCTTCTTCGGGGCAATGAGAGTCTCTCCAGGGAACCCCACTCTGCCAAGAGCACAAAGGACAGTCAGTGACCCCCTCCAGGCAGACCCTCAGCCAGGCTGTCTCTCCAACCGGAGCACCTGGCACACAGTAGCCGCTCAATAAACGGTGGATAAACTGAACTCAACCAAAAGAGCCCTGGGCTCCGGGCCCTTCCGGCACAGACTCAGAGCAAGGCTCTTTTTTTTTTTTTACTGAGTTTATATATATATATATATTTTACAAACAGTTTATTGTCAAATTAGTTTCCACAGAACACTCAGTGCTCATCCCCACAAGTGTCCTCCTCTATGCCCATCCCTCCTCCCCCCCACATCCATCAGTCCTCAGTTTGGGTCAGCATTCAAGAGTCTCTCATGGTTTGATTCTCTTTCTTTCCCCCACCATTTCCCTTTTTCTCCTCCTTGTTCCTCCGTCAAGTTCCTCCTAATCCTCCTATACGTGCAAACATATGATATTTGTCCTTCTCTGCCTGCCTTATTTCGCTCAGCATAACACCCTCAAGGTCCATCCATGTTGCTACACATGGCCAGATTTCATTGTTTCTCATTGCCATGTAGTATTCCATGGTATAGATAAACCACATCTTCTTGATCCATTCGTCCATTGATGGACACTTAGGCTCTTTCCATGTTTTAGCTATTGTGGAGAGTGCTGCTACGAACATTGGGGTACATGTGCTCCTATGCATCAGCACTCCTGTATCCCTTGGGTAAATTCCTAGCAGTGCTATTGCTGGGTCATAGGGGAGTTCTATTGTTAGTTTCCTTAGGAACCTCCACACTGTTTTCCAGAGGGACTGTACCAGTTTACATTCCCACCAACAGTGTAGGAGGGTGCCCGTTTCTCCACATCCTTGCCAGCATATAGAATTCTCTGATTTAGAGCAAGGCTCTTCATGTCCCAGGCCTCAATAATTCCTGCACTGCTCCCTCCACAGGGATGTTGACAGAACGGATCTCAAGGGATAGACAGGAGGGCACCATTACAAAAACGCATAGCCCTGATTATGTAAAGGTCTGGAGAACCAAGCGAAGTCCCTGAGTCTGCCACAAACGAGGCAGTCACTTCATCTTACTAGGACTCACCCAGGAAGCAAGGGACTTAGAGAAATTATCTTCGAGCAGGGAGGCTGCTCTTACCCTTTTCCCCTTGGAGCAGGAAATGAAATTTCAGAGAATCAAGGACCTATTGCCCAGATATTCTGTTGGAAAAAGCAAACTGCAAGGAGAGGAAAAGAGAGAGAATGGCACAGTCCCATTTTTATATTTAAAAACAAAACAAAACAATAACCTCAACAATACCTCTGTGTTTATACACATATAGTGAAAGATCTGAAAGGGTACTGACCAAACTGTTCAGACAGGTTAATAATTGAGAAATGAATAAAGGAAAAAGTGGGAGTTCCATGGGGTGAGAGAAGAAAAAGAACTTCATTTTTTACTTTATGTGCTTGGGAATTCTTGTATAATTTTAAATATACACATATACTTTTTAAAAAATTGGGTTTTTTAAAAACGTGGCAAAAAAGCACCTATTCCTGACCCCAGTCAGAGTGGATCCTCAGTAACAACAACAACAAAAAAGTTTGGAGCTAGAACCCAAGGAACAAGAGGAATGGGCAGGAACCCTCACCCTGGAATCTAGAGACTCCCTCTAACTCCATTATATTAAATGAGAAAGATCCAGATTACACCTGGCAGGTCCCTTCCCAGACCCATCCACCATGGGAAGCTTCCAATGAACAGACAGACAGATGGACATTGGCCCCACCTTGTGCTATGCACATGCTTTAAGCCCTTACCCCACACTCCCCTCTTCTTCAGCTTCTCTCCCAACATTCAGGGGGCACCAGCAAAGGGTATCGGACAGAAGGCCAGGGGACCTGAATGCCCCACTAGGCCACACAAGAGGTCCAGGGCCCTGAACAGGTCACACTTTGTAAGCTATAGCTTGTAGCACAAATGAAAGGGTTTGTTGTTACTGATGCTGCTATTAAGAAGGAAGATGAGGAGGAAGGGAAGGCCTTGGTCACACTGTCTCATCCCCACCCGGAAATGCTTTCCACTCATGTCATTACCCTGGGCTTTATAGCTCACCTTAAATCCACTGTTAAATAAAGGCTCTCTGTCACTTATGTGACACCAAGTGTCAACTCTGTGCCAGGACACAAAGTAATAGAAGCAGCTCCAGGAGAGCTGACAGCGTCACAGGGTCAGAATAAGACTGGTTTGCCTGGGTCTAGATCTCTTCTAGGCCTGCACTGAGGACATCAGCCATTAAGCTAGATAAGGTCTATAAGAAGAACCCTTAAAATAAATGCCTACTTAATTTTGCTTTAAAAAAAAAAATCTACAGGGCACCTGGATGGCTCAGTCGGTTAAGTGTCCAACTTCAGCTCAGGTCATGATCTCACAGTTCAAGAGTTTGAGCCCTGCGTTGGGCTCTGTGCTGACAGCTCAGAGCCTGGAGCCTGCTTCAGATTCTGTGTCTCCTTTTCTCTCTATTCCTTCCCTGCTTGCAGTGTGTGTGTGTGTGTGTGTGTGTGTGTGTGTGTGTGTGTGTGTGTGGTGTCTCAAAAATAAAGATTAAAAAAAAAAATCTACAGACTAAGCTGTAGGCTTTCTGCTGTGAGAAGCAGATTCCACACGACCCTCATGGGCCCAGGCAGCCCAGAGGCTCTGGCACATCTACTCCTCCTCCCCTTCGCTTCAGTCTGGTTTCAGATGGTCCTCTCTGAACCTTCCCTGGACCCGCATCAAACAGCCAGGACAGCGGTCTTATATAAATAGCAGAGCCCTTCCCCTGCCCAGCTCTCTAGCCTGCTGGCTGGGAATGCCTGGTGCTACCAGCACCACACATGAGAGGAGGTGAAGTCTTTCAATCTTTCCTTTTCCAGGTGAAACTCAGCAAGCAAAAGAGACTTGAGTGACTGACAGGCAGACAGATCTTCCCTGGTCCCTCCCGCCCACTCTCCTCCCCATCCACCTATCCAGCCTCCGGTCTCTCCAGATCCTAGCACTGCCGCCATTATTCTTCCCACCACACTCTGCTGCCTCAAGCAAACTTGAACAGAATCAGCTAGAAGGAGAAAGCACTCAAGCACAGGCTGGAAGTCAAACAAGTGGCATGAGCCCCACCAACAACCTCACGGCCTGGGCCTGGTGGCTCACACTTTCTAGAAAGTAAAAAAAAGATCATGATGTAAAAGATCATGGAAATATCTGAAGGACAAGCTTGATCCACAGCAGCTTGTACAGATTGACCCTATTTGGTGAATACATATATAAAGATGCAGAATATTCAATAAAGTACTAATTACAGTTGTTCTTAGAGGCCAGGAATACAGATTACTTTTCCTTCTTTCTGTTTAAATGTAGTTCTCATTTTTTCTATTACACTTGAAGATTTCTTGATTTTAAAAAAATTAGAGGTTAAAAAAATAAAATATTCCAGTGCACAGGGCTTGGCATGACAAGATGAGGAGATAAAGTCTGCTTAAGCTTAAAATGTTTATGATATTTAAAAAAATAGCATCATCATCATTATTATTTAAACCTATGATGAGATTCTTCTTTATTTGACAAGTCCAACAATAACAGCATGGTTCTCTCACAGGTCACAGAAAGCAAGCCGGGAACCTGGCCTTGGTTTCTGCCACAGCCAGTCACGTGGGCACAGTTCTGCCCAGGCCCAGGCCAGCAGAGACTGCAGGAGCCCGCTGGGCACCATGGGGGCCCCAGGGGAAACACGTGCTGGTTCCTTGGATCTCACCACAACACAGAAGCACAATGCTCACAGAGAAAATGGTTAAACACCCAGTCAGGATGTAACTTAGATTTGTCAGTATATGTTTCAGCTTCTAGAAGATTCTGGGGAGTTGGCATCCAGGAGTATGACTAGAGTACCCAAAGAAAGGCTTACAGGGTAGGGAGTGGGGTTAGGTTTTGCCAAAAGGGAGAACTATGGGCATGGCAGGGAGGGCATTTGGGCTGAGTCACCAAGTGGGCAAATGTCCAGAGATGGGAATGAGTAGGGCTGTGCAGAGGCCAGAGAGGAGGCTTTGACATCCTGACACCTCAGAACAAGAAGCCTATAAAAGGTGAGCTCCAAACAGCCTGCCAGATGGAACAGGTTGGAGACGGGGAGAGTAGAGGGAGCTGGGGGTTGCAGCAGGCAGCCTTACAAGAGTCACAAGTGTTACTCTGCTGGAAAGGGCAAGACTCCCATCCCTGAATGCCACTGCAGGCCAGGCCCAGGGTCAGGGATCTGACACACCATCACCTCATGGACTCCTCACAGGATACCAGGGCAGGGAGCAGACCTAGGTCAGACCCGAAGCCTGGCTCCACCACTGGCTCACTCTGTGACCCTGGGCAAGTGACTTCAATGATCTGAGCCTCCATCACCTCATCTGTAAAATGGGGATACTCCTCCCTCCCTCTGAGGGTGGTGGTAGAAAGCTAGGAAAATAAACAAGACAGAGCACTTAGCATGGTGTGTCCCCAGTAAAACAACCCTGAGAGGGTGTATAATCACAAACAGTAATGAGAAGCAGGAAGTGGTCTGAAAACCAGGAGTTCAGACGTGCCAGCCCAGGGGCGCCTGGGTGGCTCAGCCAGTTAAGCATCCTACTCAGCTCAGGTCATGATCTCATGGTCTGTGAGTT